TCTGCACAACTTGGTAAAAGAACGTGGAGTCCACTGCATCTGTGCTCCAAAAACTGCTCTGTCCATCACTCAGCTGTCGCAAAACAAAAGGCTGGTGAAGAGCGGTTGGAAAAAAGGGAGCCACAGAATCCACTTATTACCAGGCCGTCACCATGGGTACGTGCTATACATGTTTGGCTTTCAGCCTAGTGACCTCAGCGCTGGAGTGTAAAAGGAAGCTGCTAAACGAATTCTGACTTTGGTCATTTCAGGGAGCTTGACTAAGAAACTTTCTGCTGCCAGTTCCTGCAGGTAGTGCTCCAGTGTGCTCTGCGACACCAGTCGCATCCTCCACAGTATGTTAGCTATTGGTTCCCCGCGTTTATATGCCATGATTGCTCCACCTCCACGCATGCTGGCAGGGGTAGGCCACACTGACGGAGGAACTTCCAGAGCCGTCAGTAGTATATTCCATCGAGATCTGAACGTGGCCGGAGACAAAGGAAACAAAGGGAGAAATTCATCCAACTCACCAAAAATAGACTGCAAGCAGGCGATCACCTCCGGTTCAGCAACCTTGACATGTTGCACTCGGCCTTTTCCGCGCCGCAGTGTTTTTGGTTTACGCACTCGCAGGAAAAGAGCTGAGTTCGTACTGTCAAAGCTGTCCATCGGCAAAACCAAGTCTACTCTGTGAGCTGCTAAAACTTCACCTACTCTAGCAATCCCTTCCATTCCTAACATCAAGCAGCCAGCAAATCTTTTCCACTTCCAGTTCAACGCAAGGGCGATCATGGCTTTGTAGAGGATCTCAGGGAGAGGCTTTCGGTGGCACACGGGTTGCAGTTCTTCCCACTGGCTAACTAGCTGCCAAGCCGGACTCATCACAGGTCTCAGCAACGGATACCGCTGCTGCGCCAGCACATAGAGATGTCGAATCTCATACAGCCGGCCTCCATGTTGGTAAACGTGAAGACCGTAACGGCGCAACACTTGAACAGCTAGGGGAGCACAAAGAAAAATCTGGTTTCGGGTCTCTTCAGAAAAGGTCTCTACCAACCAAACCAAAAACTGATCCCAGATCCGGCGCTGCAAAACGGAGGTAGTACCCCCTACCAAAAGAGTCTGGCTGAGGTCTGCCGGGTCCCTCATTTGGTGGCGGGAGCGCCGGCGAGGTCCAGGGTTTCCAGCTTCACCAATCCTGTTGTGCCCAACTTTCGCACAGGCAGCAATGGAGAGACGGCCTTGCTCAACGCGCGATAGCCCCATCCGGTGACCCATGGCCTTGGCTAGTCTCTTTGCCAGGGCCACAGGATAAACCTGTGCTACTAAGGTCCAGCACTGTCGATGCAGAGAGCTTCTGCCTCGAAGGATCTGGTGTGAGTGGTTCCCCAAGCAGAGCTCACGTTTTCCAGACAAACAGCAATCAGTTACTATCCTCGTACGCTTCCGCCATGGTGTGTTGAAACGGCACATGTCGAATCTAAAACAGTTTTCAGCTTGAGCAAGCCCACTGGCCAGCCACTCCGGCAGCAACCAAATGAAACTGCCGTCGGGGTTTTCCATCCAGTAAGCTATGCCTAAAGCTCTGCACAAAAGAAGGACCCTGAGGACAAAAGCTGCATGCCGATTTCCTCTGTCAGTCTTTTTCTCCATGTTGGGTGAAATCCCAGGCAACCCATAGGGGTAAAGGCGTGATCGAACAGCTGGAGTTATAGCTCTGCTGAAGCTGCAACATTCAGGCGCGGCTCCCACGCCAAGCACTGCATCGCTCTGAAGCAAGGCTACAATGCTGTCTTGTAGCTCTTTTTCTAACAAATCTTGCTTTTCCCCATGTGTGACATCAAAAGTTAAAACCCAAATCCCAAAAATCTTACTAATCTGTCGGGCAACTTCAGCTCTGCCACTGTAAAGGTCCACAAAGCCCTTTCTCTGCCATTGCACCGCGCCAGTCGCACGGATGCCTCCTGGGCAGAAAAATTGCCCAGCTGGAAAACGGTTCACCATCTCCGCAGCCTTCTCCGACAGCAGCGGACTCGACAGATTTTCATGGCGAGCACGGGCGCGCCTACCAACCCTGAAGAGCTCTGACGAGCTAGTTGGGAGGGGGGCAGGAAGGGGGTCCCTAACAACTTCCGCAGGAGGAGCTACCTGCAAAAAACAAACAGCTTGAGTTTCTGGCCTGGGTTCGTTTCCACCCTCAGGCTTTCTTTTATCATTTTTTGTTTGGCCGTCAGGCTCTTGCTCTCTTGACTCATCTTTTGGGGAGTTTAGACCAAAGTGTGAAACGGTTTCCGTCGGCTGACTCTGTACAAATGCCCTAGTGCTAAAAACAGACTCGAGCTTTTCCCGAGCATCAAAAGCAGCAAGCTTCTCTGGTTTCTGAACTTCCCTAAGGGGATCCAACAGCTCTTTCTGTACAACGGAAGGTTTCTGGGCATGGCTCAAAGCTTTAGGCAACCCTGCTACTTGACTAGGATGAAAACCCAATGCGGCTAACCAGCTATCTAATAAAGTAAAATCACCATTGCAGGCAGCTTCCCACCATTCGGGGAAAGCGCGGCAAGGCGTACGAATTGCTGCGCCACGCGTTGGGTCGTCACTGACATTAGCCCTTGAAGGGACAAAGCCAAAATTGCCATACATGCCACATCCTAGGTAAGTTGCTAAGCTACTCTTCAACAGTTGGTTGAGCCGCACACTGCTAGAGCGGCCCTTGACTAGAGCAGCAAGTGTCACCTGGCTGTCACTGCCGGAGAGATAGTGGCAATCCCCATGTCGCAGTGATAGTCGCCTCTCCAGCTCCAGAACTGATTCCAGTTCCAGCAGGTTGATGTGTCTCCTCCCTCGAGCCAGTTCACAGTGGTTCAACCTGAACTGTAGAACCTGGGCTATCAAAAGCCACAGGGGGTGGCTGACCAAGGGAACCCCATCTGGTAGCTCTTCTTCCTCTTCTAAGCAGTCATGAAGTTTTTGCCAGGTCTTCCAGGGGCTCAACAAACGACTCCAAGTTCCTCTTGCAAGGCAATGACGCTGCAATTCCCGAGCTAGCGACAACGGAACATTGGCACGGACCGTCGCCATCTTGTCTTGTGAAGCATCGCTCAAAAACACTTCAGCTAAGCTTTGGGCTCGAAGGTCAGAAACGCTGAGCGGTCCAAGGATGACCAGCAACCAAAGTTCCTGAACAAGCGCAGCTGAGAGCTTCACGATGTCGTCCCTTTCTCTAAGTTGCTGTGCTGTGTAAATGTGGTCTAAGAGTGACAGCATTCTCCGTCTAACTTGAAGCACTGCTACCCAAGACCCGGCCAAGGTCTCGAGCAAAGCAACTGAAGCATAGCCAATCAGCGCCGTGCGCGCAGTGATTTCCAGAAGCGGGATCACCCTGCTCGGGCTTGCTCTCACTAGCCCTGATTCACCGTTTGCAAAGATGCCCCAGAACGAAGCTTTGCTTTCACCTCGAAAGGTCTTGGCTGGATGGGCGGTCAGGCCCTCGTGCAGGTAAGCCTCGCAAGCCCCACCCAGACGCTGCACGCCATCAGACAGCAAAGGATTATGACCGACTGTTAGTTGCTCTGCAAAAACTAGGTCATCGATGACAATACCCGCTGCCATCTTACCTCTAGGAGCCCTACCTTGAGCAGTCAACAGTTCGCCAGGTTGGAAAACTTGATGTCTGAGGCCTAGCTCCACGTGGGCACGTTGCCCTAGCTCGACTGCATTGTTATCACCCATAGCCATCGTTGCAAGGCAAGGATAAAAAGTTGAATGACCCTTCTCCAACCAGGTTTTGTCAAAACATCTGAACTTCAGTGCTTGTTTTGCCGTCAGAGGAAACTTCAGTGCATTCCGACGGCTGCGCTCTGACGACACTTTAAAGCAATAGTAATAGTCCCTCAGATCAGTGCCAGAAAAAACCATATTGTGATTGGGAAGGAGCTCGATTTGGCATAATGCTTGAACTGAACCCAGAGTAGCGCACCAGCTTCTCAACGTACACTCCAACTCATTAGCAGGCCTAGCATCTATAATGAGTCTGTCTTTGTGCTCGTCCTTCGGCAGTGCAAAGGCCCCACAAGCATAACCCGTGCGCACCAAGCTTTTTGGCACCAGGCGGAGCCGATGGTGATCATCCAGGAAATGCAAAAGTTCAAGCGCATTCCTTGCTGAAGCACGGACCTGTACTCGTGGAGGCGGCCCCACAGCCGCATCTGGACTGAGAGCTGAGGCAGTGGGATCAGCGTAAACATCACGATGCACTCCATCATACAACATGGTGGGGTCAAACTCAGGAAGACTCTTTGGGAAAGACAACCGATGGGGTTCTCTCTCCTTTGCCAAAACGGGGATACCAGTAGACAACTTACCTACTACTTCACCTCCATCTCCGTGTTGGTGTCCAGGCTTCAGAGAGCTGCAAAGGGGCGCCGAACCTGAAACCGATCTGGCAGCATAGCTATCTTTGGCTAGCTTTGCTGCTCGAAAATGAAGGTCATGCAAAACTGTGTCCAAGCTCTCATTCTTTACGGCGGATCTGCCCATTTCCGCAGGTCCAATGTCTCCGGCCTCACTCAATTCAGAGATCATCCGCTGCAGTCGGTGCACCACCCCCCACTGCTTTCGAGAAAGCCGTTGGCGGCGATGAAGTTCTCGAGGGCAAACATTAGGACATTTCATATGGAGCCAGGACAGAGCTAGCACTGCTAAATTCACAGCCTTCTGCTGGTAGATCTGCGCAGCGTCAGCGCCATCTGGCATCCAGTTGCCAGTCGAGAACCACTGGCTGTAGGGCGCCGACATAGGCCACAAAGAAGGAGCTGTCCCCGACGCTTCAGCCGGGTCGTTGTGCAAATAAGAGTGCAAAAACCTAGAAAAAGGGGTTTTGGATCTCAGCACCCATCTGGTGATCGAACTCCACAACCTCAAAACATTGGAGATTGGCGCAGAGCTGCCGGGGGCGGCCCTGCGTTTCGGAGCAGGCTCTTCGTCCTGCTTCGACTGCTGGCTCACATTCTGACAGCTCAAGCTGCTGCCTCCTTGCTGTCCTTGTTCTCCTCGGCATTGACTTGCTTGCCCTTCCCTGTGCCTTTCTGTTTTGCCTTGGCTTTTGGTTTCGGTGCCGGTGCTTGATCTTCGGCTGGGGCTCGAGGGCGTATCTGGCTGCTGAGCTTGGCGCGCTTCTCGTGGAAGTCGGCAAGATCCTTCACCTTGGCGACCACAAGATCCATCCAGCGGGGGCCCACAAGTTTCGAATGCGGGAGCTCCCACGGTGCTGGAGCTTGATGCTGTTGAAAACTGGTCATGGGAGGCGGATCTTCCAAACTCAGTTCCGTTGCCAGAAGAAAGCTGCCTGAGTCGCAAGCCTGCTGATCTAAAACGCAGACTCCGAGGGCTGCTCTTGCTCGAGCTTCGTCGTAGCGCCCCGTTCTGAGGCAATCCCAGATGCCGCCCAAGCACCATGCTGCTCGAGCTGTGCTGGGGAAGCCTTGGATCCTGCTGCGATGCTCTATCCAACCCCTTGCCGAGATCACATTGTGCTGCACTCCAGGTTGCAAGGCTGCTTGTTCCCAATCTTCTTGAAGTCTCTTCTCGACTGCTACGTAGATCAACTGCGGACTGGTTCTCAGCAGCTTCTGCAGTGAAAGCAAGGCTGCTGCTTTGCTTCTGCTCGATCCCCCCACAGCATCCCTTGCTGAGCCAGATTCGGCGCGGTCCAATATTGCTTCTAGCTCCTTGTCCTTCTTGGTGGTCTTCGACCTCTGCAAGGCCGTCACCAGCTTGGTCAATTGGAGCACTGCAGTTTCCATAGGGTCGCCCGACCCAATAGCGGCACCACGTCCGCCACCCAAATTGAAGTCCTCTTCCTCCTCGTCGCTTGACACCGCCACGGCTGCGGCCTGGGCAGTCATCTTTGATTGAATTGGAAGACCCATCGAAGCAGCGATATCTTGAAGAGCGGCCGGGCTGACGCCGGCTTGTAGCGCCTGTTGAGCCACCGCAGGGTCCACTCCTTCCGGTAGTGCGGAAGGGGAGAACTTGACTTTGGGCTTGGCATTGCGCAAAGCTGGAGGTCTGGGAGCTGCAGGTTGCTGAGCGACCAGGAGCTGCTTGATCTCCTGGAGCCCGTCTTCCAACGCTGACATCCGAGCTTCGTACACGACTTGAGGAGATTGGGAAAGGCCAGGTTGAGGAGCTGCACTCTCGGCGGAGAGGAAGGTGAAGTGATCCTTTGCGACTGCAAGCAACGCGGGAGCGTAGGGCAGTTTCATCATGCCTACATCGTCCAGCGGGAACACAAAATCGGCCTGCCCCACATCGGAGAAGATCATGTCCTGAAACTGAGCACCCAAGAGCCCCAGCCATACTTTCGTAGTTGGCGTAGAGTCAGGAACACTACGATCACTCAAAGCGCAAAGTGGGACCAGAACTGCAATAGGCCTTTGCAGTAAGTCCGGATCAACTTTCCTCTTCTTCCGCGTTTTGTGCCAGGCTCCTTCAGGAATGGCTACCAGCAGCTTGTCGTCCACCTCAGAGACAACTACCACTGCGCAGCTGCTCTCGGTAGTGGGAGGAGCAAGGATGCCGTAGTTGTACTCTAGCTCGGTTTCCTCGCCTGAAGCCACCACAAGTTGATGAGGGTCCAGAGCTTCAGGCTCCTCCGCACCCTCCTCCTCTTGACTCATGAGTGTCTGGTGAGAGCGTCGGGGATTTTGAGTCCCGCCGCACTCAGGGCAATCCGCGCTTCACTCTTCGATGGGAGGCCAACAAACAAGGAATCACCCAATTGTTTGTCCACTGAAACAAGGAGCTTGGTGTTAGCCCAGCTGGAAAGGATCTTTGGAGGATCAAAAACCGTGCCAGAAATGTCTTTGACTACAATGTAGACTTTGCTAGCTAGATCAATCTTTTCCCGCCCGGACAAGCCTCGATGTTCCTGATTCAATCCCCGCCTCAGCCAGCGCCCAACTTGTTGAGCTGCTTCGACACGGGCAGGCGGCAAATCAGTGCCAGCTGCTAAGGACGCACTCAGCACTGGGGAGGAAGTCCCAGCAGAAGCTGCCGATGAAACCACCTCAAAGTCCTGGGAACCTTCGTGATGCACAGCAGCTCTGAGCTCGCGCACTTGCAAACGCAGATCAGCTAGTTCCGCTACAACCTGCTCAAATTCTGCCCGCGAGACCGGGTTAGAGCTCATGCACGCTTGTATAAAGGTTCCTCCCGCTCACGGCTCAAGGTCTTGAGCTTGTCTCTGATCCAAATCCGCCAGCTATGTCTAACCAAATGCACCAGGTCCAAAAGAGGCCCCAAAAGTAAACCCAACAGCAGTCCAACCAAGCAGCTAATCGGGTCCAAGTCACCGAGCTTCAAGCCCACCAAATCACGCAGGTCCAGCTCTGGGCAAATGGGGCACTCAAAAGACAGAGGATGTTCAGGAGCTGATGCAAATTCAGTGATGAGTCTGAGAACTAAGGCTGAAAGACTTCCGGAGGTTGCCCCTATGGCGGCGACCGACCGGTCCATCCAACGCTTAAACCCAAATTTCTGCAAGCAGGTAAATGCATGACGAGTTCATACACCTTACCATCCCCTCAACTAACCGCTTTCCTTGAAATCATCAGTTTATGATGCAGACACCACCAGGCCCTTGGAGGTTTTTCTGCTGTCTTCAGTCACTTCAGTCGTCATATTTCTCTTTATAAAACATTGCATCCTGAGGAATGAATCCTCTGTGTTTAAGACAAACCCACATGTGAATCATATCAAGTTCGTAAATTATATATAGAGTGTACAAGTACTGCAAACTATACCACATCATAGAACATAACTAATTGAATTCGACTAGTAAACCCATTACTAAACCATTTAATTTGATATTGTTTGGTGTATATCCCACTATAATGCCTTAATCGTTGTTACTTGCTTGTATCCCATCAAAAACTCCCATTGTGAATGCTGGGTCCCCAATTCCGTTGACTTCCATAATGTCCCCATGATCTTCCACCAAAAATCGATCGAATTCCCATTGATTTCCAAATGGAGTTGGTCAAATTCCATGTCCCAAGAAATATCCATGATATCTTCCATGAAATATCCCATTGGTCATGATCTTCCCCTTGATTTCACAAACATTTTTTATGAATCAAGGGAGGAACTCCAATGATGGTACCCCCCCATGGTCAGCTTCCAACCTGCGACATGGGAGTCTACGGGAATGGGGGCTGATCCTCCAGGAGCCTCTGAGAAAATTCCAATTATAAGAGCTGGTTGGTGGTATACCTACCCTTCTGAAAAAATATGATTTCGTCAGTTGGGATGATGAAATTCCCAATAAATGGAACAATAAAATTCATGTTCCAAACCACCAACCAGAAATTATAAGAGCCATTGAATGGGTTTTGCATCACATTTGTGGCGAGACATGTCCTTGAAATAAGGGCTTGATGGCTGTACTACCCCTTATATCTTGAGGGATTATTCATGAGTTCATGATCTAAAATTTCAATCGGAAACTTCCAAAAAGGGATGAAATCACCATAAAATAGATTAACATATTATATATTATAGGGCTTTATACAGCATGTTATCCATGTTTATCCACCTGTTCGACATGTTTCATCAACTGTTCCCGTCGTCATTCAACGGCCAGGGCACTTGATGAGCTCGATCACCTCCATGAGGAAGAGCCCCTGTTTTCCGATGCCCATGCCTGCCGGTTTCGGCCGAAAAAATCATCATGTTTCATTCAACAACTAAATGACATGTTAATGCATGAAAACGCGGTGATATTTGTATATTACCCTCTGGTAAACATAGAAAATTATGGTCATGGGATACCTATGGTTTACTATGGTTGAATAGGGGTGATAATGGGAAAATGGTGGGATAATACTGGGATATTAATGGATATACCCTCTGATAAACGTTTACATAACTATGGAAAATTCACCATTTCGAATGCTTAAATCAACTATTTCTATGGCCATGTTACCATGTTCAATAGTTTTTTTTTCTATGTTTACAAGAGGGTGTATATATGTGTATATATGTGTATATATGTCATATATGTGTATATATGTGTATATATGTGTATATATGTGTACGTATATATGTATATATATATGCGTATATAATATACAGTACATAATATATGTGTATACACAACATTACACAACTACATAATGCACCGTTTGATACCGTTTGTAGTTCTTTGTTGGATGATCTCTGGGTCCAGTCAGATCAAAAAGATCAAGCCCTGGCAGCCCTGGCAGTTTCAGAAATGATATGTGTGTTTAATATGTGTTTAATATGTGTTTAATATGTGTTTAATATGTGTTTAATATGTGTTTAATATGTGTTTAAATATGTGTTAAATATGTGTTAAATATGTGTTAAATATGTGTTAAATATGTGTTAAATATGTGTTAAATAAATATGTGTTTAATATGTGTTTAATATGTGTTTAATATGTGTTAAATATGTGTTAAATATGTGTTAAATATGTGTTAAATATGTGTTAAATATGTGTTAAATATGTGTTAAATATGTGTTAAATATGTGTTAAATATGTGTTTAATATGTGTTTAATATGTGTTTAATATGTGTTTAATATGTGTTTAATATGTGTTTAATATGTGTTTAATATGTGTTTAATATGTGTTTAATATGTGTTTAATATGTGTTTAATATGTGTTTAATATGTGGTTAATATGTGTTTAATATGTGTTTAATATGTGTTTAATATGTGTTTAATATGTGTTTAATATGTGTTTAATATGTGTTTAATATGTGTTTAATATGTGTTTAATATGTGTTTAATATGTGTTTAATATGTGTTTAATATGTGTTTAATATGTGGTTAATATGTGTTTAATATGTGTTTAATATGTGTTTAATATGTGTTTAATATGTGTTTAATATGTGTTTAATATGTGTTTAATATGTGTTTAATATGTGTTTAATATGTGTTTAATATGTGTTTAATATGTGTTTAATATGTGTTTAATATGTGTTTAATTTGTGTTTAATATGTGTTTAATATGTGTTTAATATGTGTTTAATATGTGTTTAATATGTGTTTAATATGTGTTTAATATGTGTTTAATGTGTTTAATATGTGTTTAATATGTGTTTAATATGTGTTTAATATGTGTTTAATATGTGTTTAATATGTGTTTAATATGTGTTTAATATGTGTTTAATATGTGTTTAATGTGTGTTTAATATGTGTTTAATATGTGTTTAACATGTGTTTAATGTGTGTTTAATATGTGTTTAATTATGCTTTAACTATGGCTGACTATTTACGGTCTGTATTATAATCATAGCTACTTCAAATAATTCACTCACCTGAGTTAAACAAACTATTGGCCACTTGGGGATGATTTCCGGAATCCAACCCAATGAGGTCACTTTATAACAATGATAAACCATGATACACCATGACAGGCAATGATAATAAACCATAATGAACCATGATAAACCATAATAATTAAACAATAATAAACAATAAACCCATGGTTGTTCAGACCATCTTGCAACACCTAACAACATCACTTGAATAAACATCCCAACGTCCAACAGCCATTCATCATGCCGCCTAGTTCCAAGCTGGCTTATACCCTCCGGTAATTTAACATAGCCATGCAAAATTGCCCATGTCTAGGTGATTTATGATGCTAAAAACCGATAAAAACCTGCTAAAAAGGATTGTTTTCCATAGCTATGTTCAATTGCCAGACGGTAAATCCATTGATCTATAGATAAACCTACCATAAATCCATCCCAGTGAGCCCGGATGCAAAAAAACATGGTTTTTTGAAGCTCAAATCCACATGTTTGATATATCACTTAGATCCCCACCATTTCCCCACTGTATTTCTATTTTGATGATTATGGTTTGCTTTTTTTCACTGGCTCCCAATTTCATGTTTTCTCATAAGAGTTTTCATCAGGGCTGGGTCTTGCCTACGGAAGTGAGGTAGTTCAGGAGCCAACCCATTTCTTCCAAATCAAACTGCCTCGGCGGAGTCATTGGCAGATCTGGCGAAGAATCCAGTTTTTTGGGTGACTCGGTCCGATTCGGTCGGTTAAAGCATTGCAATTTAAAAAAATCAGCATGGGATAAGTCAAGTGGCTAGATCGCTCTATATTGTTCCGGGAAAAAAAAAAACATTAAAAAAAAAATTCAACAAACTGCAAAACTCCACTAGATCAGGGTTTAATCCAGCGATGATCTTTGCTTCAATCATCCCAATCCCGAGGGGAAAGTGTCGGATCATGGTTGTGGGATGTTGTGGGTCACTTTCTTCAGTTTTGGCGTCGGATAGGCCAGAAAGCCAGATTCATGGCTGATCTCTGTGTGCTCCACTAAGTGGTTTATCATGGTTTATCAACATCCAAGTACCCCCCCCCATAACACAGCAACCCGCGTCGTTGCGCGGTCGCCAAGCTTCTCAGGTGTTGCTTCCAAGACGTTTCGCACGCACTTGAGACTCTCCACCCTCGGACGCGTGGTGAGTCTCTGACAATCTCGGAACTCGATTTGCGTTAATGTGGGGGCGTCCTTAAAATCAAAGAGGATGTAACCTGTCTATCACCAACGAAATAGCCAACTTGATATTATAAATGGATGGATAATGGATACCCAAAAATTGCAAGGTTTGGGAAACTTGTGGATTGACCATGGCACTTTGGGATACACCTGTATAGTTCATTATAGTTCCAGACAAACCCATGTAGTTTTCCCGGTCGAAGAAACAGTGGTTTCGACAAAACTTACATGGCTTCGTCAACTGGGGTGCCCCATTCCATCCGCTGATTAATCAAATAGTCATACGTTTCCCCATTCAATGGCCGTAAAGATCGTAAAGCTCCAACCCAAATTTTGGTTGCTTGTTTTGTTTTTCCATGAATCCCTATTGAAATCCCCATTGAACTTCCAATTGTTCCAAGGTTTCGCCACATGGTATTTCACCATGCCACTAAGGGAAGCCCCGAAATAATGTTCACCTACTAAGCCCCGCATGGCATTTTGGCGAAACATATCTAACTGGTTGGTGGTTTCAATTAATGGTGATTAATGGTGATTTAATGGTAATTTGTGGTGATTTCGAAGTGATTTATGGAGATTTCAAGGTGATTTACTGGTTGGTGGTATACCTACCCCTCTGAAAAATATGACTTCGTCAGTTGGGATGATGACATTCTCAACTGAATGGAAAAATAAAATTCATGTTCCAAACCACCAACCAGATAATTTTTTGTGAAGCAAATCAGACATGTTTGTTTCTTGGGATTTACCACATTACCAAAAGTTTGATGTCATAGGGTATCAACCTGTTGCTACTTTATTTGCTATATAGTGATGATCATCGGATGCAAACAAATACTATAATGACAGCAATTATGATAACACAAATCAAAGGCGCAATAGATAATGACAGAAAACATGACAAAAAAGGGATTAATCACGTTGCTCTTAGACAGATGCAAAGAAATCGTCCAAATTATAGGGGTCGCCAAAAAGATAGAACATCCTTCTGGAAATGATGATACCCCCTAATTGTCCAGGCTTTTAACATGTTTTAACTTGTCTATCTGTTTGTGGCATGCTATTTCTTTCATCACATTCTCATAAGAAAACTGTTCTTATCCCATGATGCTTCGGTAGTACTTGCGCCACCATGGATGCTTTAAAAACCGGCCAAATCCACAACGTCAATCTATATGGTTGGGAAACTCTATAGGGACTATGCATACCCCTGGCTCCGAATCGCTCCCTCCTAACCACTGGACAGATGTATATATATATAAATAAATATAGTAAAAGTTTTTTGTACGTATACAGAACTCAAAAGCTTCAGCTTCTTATATATATATATATCTACATTATTTGTATATATATATATGTTTGCGGGAATATGTAATACATATCCAACATCCCACTAAATCCCCATACATAGTTACATAATGGTTCATTTCCCACATCTTTCCACACGCCAATTCTGCGCCTGACGTCGAAGTCGGGGCAGGTCACCAAGCCAGTTGTGGGACCGATCAACAGCCGCTCGCGGCCCGAAGCGTCCAAAAGGTCCTCCCCGCAGCCAGCAACGTATGGAGGTTTCCTAAGGATTTCGGGCATACCCCAGGATATAAAATCAGGTATCGTCCTATAAAATTATAGACATTTAGAGTTTCCTAAAGTCATGAACCATAACCTCCAGCTATGAAATCAGTCATCAAATCCTATAAAAAATCTAGACATTTATAGACATTTATACACATTTATAGACATTTACAGACTATTGAATTATTGAAACAACCATGGTGACTTGGGGATCCCCAAGTTTTCCGTGGATTACTGCCACAGCGTTGAGCGGTTTAGCGTGGAACGCGGCTCCGTCACGGGCTTCAAGGCTTCGCTATCTTCGCCCTGAGCCAGTTCGCCTGAGAGCTGAGGATTTCCACCGTATTTCATGGGATGGGAGGTATTTTTTGATGGCTCAATTGAGCAGAAGGGATATTTTGGTGGTATGTTAGTACAGTATATAGTTTATTTTCACATATATATATATGATATTGTTTATATGATATACAATGTGAAGCCCATGAGTTGTGTTTTTTGCTTTGGTATGCCATGAATAGGTTCACCAAGCGCCAAGGCACTGAGCAATTGGATGATCTTCACGATGCCCAACAAAGTCCGATGCATCATGGGGTTCCTGTTGGGGAGCACATGTGGCCATGATCCGAGCTGGGGATTTGCAGCAAAAAGTGCCAACCAAAGTCATGATGGTTAGAGAAAACCAACCAAAGTCTGTTTTTTTTTGGTTCAACCACAATTTTGGATGTTGCCTATATGCCTCTGGTTGGTGAGATACGGTGAGAACGGAGAAAAGTCGGAAGGTCTGACGATTGGGGTTGTCACATTCATTTGATTTACAAGAAGTTGCTGTATAATCATAGACATTGACCAGTTCATCATGGGGATCAGCATGTTGCCAACATGAGAAATCATCAGGAAAAACGCGAGGAACTTCACCTATCAAACTGCTGGATGTGTCAAGAGTTTGAGCATGAGACTTTGCATAACATGTTTATCTCAGTAGATTGTAGGTCCACACAGATCACATATTGCGTATATTTGGTGAGGTGTACCCGGATTGAATTTTGAACTTTGAAGGTGCCGTTCCAGTGAAGTGGATATATATATATATAGCAACTTATGGTTATATGTTTATTGGGATAAATCATGGATATAGCTATGTATAGTTACTATGCTTACTTCTAGTTATTTTTATGGTTCCATAAGTTGGGATATAAATGGTCATAACATGTTATAACCATAGTTATAGTTATATAATATATAGGGGTCACAATATCATGGGAAACCCAGCCATAAACCTAGGAATGGCGTTTAGCTTTTTAGCACCCATAAAGATATGTGACTTTGGGGATGGTTTATGAAATTGAATTTTCCACATGAATTTCAGATCAGTTCAATGATTAGTCAGTGGAAGACATGTTTTTTTGTGGTGTGAATTAATATACAGTATGTTTCTTTCCAAAGCGTTTCACAAATAACTAATCTACTTAGTACTGATTAGGTTTTTGATGGTTTCTGCAGAACAATGGGAACCCACCGGCAACGTATCAAGGCCTACCCAACCATGTCAAACGATAGTTTAAATCGCCTGTACAGTACCCTCCAGTAACTCACACATGGCAATGGAGACAGCAGCCGATATTGAAGCTCCGGTTTCGTCAAACATGGCTGGAAAATCCATGAAAATCCATGAAAATCCCGTATCCAGAATCATGCAGGTGTGAATGGGAACATCATGAAACCTCCATATGGAGTGATAGGCCCAACGACAAGTCACTGCAAATCGCGGATTTCCGGCACCATCTCCCGCCACTGCGAGGACTCGTCGGGATCCTGTACCGCAAAAAAAGGGGAGCCACAGAAAAGAAAGGGTGAAACTCGGTGAAACTCATATTATTCTGTGGCTCAGGAGTTTCATAAGTATCTGTTTCACAGATGATAATTTTCTTGTTATTGTATAGATATTTATATATATATTTATGCTACCCTCTCCAAGACCTACATTTTGTGCATCAGATATGTCCTTGAATGCCTTCCTTGTCTTCCTTCTTATTTTATCACCTATTGTAGCATTGCATCAGGAAAGTATCTTGGGCGCATGCGCCTGGACACATCCTGCCCAAATATGTAGCTGCAGCATAGCGCTGTAACATCTATATTTGACATATTTATTTTTGCTTTATTTAATGTTTTCTTTTATGTTTTCAGACATCTTTAATATCAACATCAACACGAATTTTATATCTATGATATGATTCTTGCAAGTCTGTTTTTTCAATATCGTCTACAACATTTGGTATTTTTAAATAACCTTTTTTTCAATATCGTCTACAACATTTGGTATTTTTAAATAACCTTTAGGATTTGCAGAAATATGATTAGGGGAAAAAATGGATTGATATTTTGTTATTTGTATGTACAACAGAGTATAGCATATGATTTTATATTTTTTGATGAATACAACTTGTTGTACGGTAGTCTTTTATAATGACTACTGGTGGAATTAATGTCCAAAGCTGAGCTTTGTGCAAGATTAGATGATATAGTTAGTGCATCTTGAGATTTTACATGTTTATTTACGTAAGATTTTGCAGATAATAAAGGTGTAAAAAGTACAATAGAAATGTATAAGACTGGTCTCCAGTAATAATTTTTAGACATATTGATTTTACAATGCAGTTACCTTTTTAATCCTAGTACAATTTCATAACATTCCATCAAACTTTGCATAGTAAATTGACAATAATCAATCATATTCTCATTTGATGTTAATTGCCTTATTTGTGAATCTACATTATTTCCGTTAGTTTTTCTTCAGCATCTACATTTTTGTGTAGAAGAATTGATATAATTTGTAATAATTCATTTTTAAATCTGTATAATGCAGATGATCTTGAAATTTCATTGCTTTAAATCCAGGAGTGCTTGAGTTAGATATATTGCTTGTTAGCCATAAATGATTTTGATGATAGTAAGTTAATAAGTAAAAACAAAAAACTAGATCAGTTTTAAATATATTTGTCATATTATAAATTGCCTTACTTTTTTATAGTTCTAAATTTTGTGATATGTTCAAAGGTATTATAGGAGTTTTTAGCATTGGGTTGATACGTAGTTTTACTTCGAAATATCCTATATGTTTATTGGTTCTTTTAGCTCTATATTCTAAGGATCTAGTTTAAGTTAATCACAGAATTTGTTTACTTTCTATATGTTTTTTTTCAGACTGGTTTGTTTATATTGTTTAATATTCTACCAGTTGTGACGCTTTGTGATGTGAACTTTGATAGCATTTCAGGGTTTTTATAGTCTATTATATACTCTTTTTCTACTGTAAACATAAATGGCAATCATGTTTTTTGGGGGAGAAAGTTTTCTTTGCCGATCTATCCGCAACCCTTTCTAATACATTTTGTTGGGAAGGTTTTGATTGATCTGCAGATAAAGAGATATTGCTATTGGATGAGCTCATGTATTTTTACTTATTCTTGTGTAATTGTTTCTTCTTGTTTGTGGTCAAAGGCTCACTTAGGACGACTTTTTCACTCACTTAGGACGACATTTTGAGATGTGGACTTCAACCTTCAGGGTTAACTCCATTGGATACAGACCTTTAGGGTTATTTTTTTTAGGAGGGACCGGGGACTGGGGACAGGGGACCAGGGAAGGGGGACAGTGGGAACAAGTAGTTACTGTTTAAGATTGCAGAAGGTTCTTGTTCAATTTATTCTACTTTTATGATGATGAATCTAATTACCTTGATTGCATTTTTTTAATGGTTTTCATTATTTTTGCCAAAGTTGATTGATTTGCTCGGAAAGCAAAGAAAAATAATGAGCTTTAGAATTTTCTTTTACAGGATGAGCAAGCTTATTTGAGGTATGTCCTTAGCAAACAAACCGATCATTTGCAAGAAATTGCAAGAAATCGCAATTACTGGTGACTAACATTATTCTATGTATCTGGATTCAAGACTCAAAATTCCAGGCTCAGGAAAAAAAAAAACATCTTCAATCCAACCTCTTTGGATTCAAGATTCAAGGCTGAAGGCCTTCGGATTCAAGAAGCTTTTTTGGGATCCGATGTACTTCGGGACGGCTGGGATGGGAACAAAATTGATCACCAAAAAATGCCATAAGCTTTAGAGTCCCAAAATGTTAAGAAAAACACTATAAATACCACTAAATTTGCTTGAAAGGTAGGTCTTGGGGGGGTACCATATATGTATATATATATATAGATATACTTAAGTGAATTATTGTATAACTCATGCATATTATTATTGCATACTATATAATCTCATCATCCCAGCGATGGAACATCTAACAAATTTCCGGTGGTGTTGGAACCATGGAACAAGTCAAGCAAATTGCCCTCAATAGTCTACATGGTTCAAAACAGCCTGCTGGGGAGCTTGCCAGAGTGCTGCTAGACCTGTTGATGTTGAGACCTGGTTAGTACCATGCGCAGCACACGTTGCCGCGTCCACAGGGTGTTCTCTATTAAACTAGCAATGTCCGGGATATGATATACACCATTTTCAGACACATTAACATCTCACTGTTTTGGATTAGTTAGTTCCCGTATGTTCAATTTACCCTCTGGAAAATTAACATAGACCCTGAAAATCACCAATTCTTAGTGGAAACTAATCTTCCAGCCCCTGTCTGGCAGGGTCTATGTTAATTTACCAAAGGGTATATGCCATAAGAATTGTTGATTTCCCCACTCAATCCCACATTAAAAACGTACACCCCGAAGCCAGTCCTGGCTGTCGTGTAGCTGTCGCAAGCGATCACGCGCAGCGTTGGGGGTTCCTTGGGGTCCAAGATGGACCGTGGGAAGCAATGGAACCAGAGAACGTTCCCTGACTGATCATTCACTGACCGTGAGCAGTGTTGCCTTTATACTGTTTGGTTAAGATTGGGATTCCCATAGTGGATTGTGACAATTCCCGCCCAAAAAAATAGGCGAGTATAATCCCGTATTATCAACAACAGGGGTTTGGAACACTTCTCAAGTGAGGTATCATTCGCAAGCTCCAGTTATAGACTATTAAGCAGTCGTGTCAATGTTTGATGTCCAGCAGTTCAACGGTTGATCTGGATATCCCACACTTTACTGTTTCGAAGAGATTTGTCAATGGTGTTTTTATCAACGCCGAATTGGAAGCATGAATCAAGAAACCATGGCATGTTGGGCCTCCAAATCGACAAATTTTCAGATACCCTGTGGTACTTTAACAGTTTGCTATGGAAAACAATCATTTTCAATAGGTAAATCAACATAAATCAACTATATCTATGGCCATTTTCAATAGCAAACTGTTCGTCATTACCAGAGGATAAGTGGCTGCCCTTTTTTTTGTGTCGCCCAGTGTCCGTACTTCAACTCGCACTTACACCACAGCTGCATGTACTTCTCATTCGGTGCATCTTTCCTCAGACATCCCGGGACATAGAGTGACGTGAGAATCACGTCACGTTTTCATGTGTGGAGGGTTTCATCATGTTTCACTAATATAGACTTCACATGTACAATACACATACATATAGTTACATCATAGTTATAGTTTACATACATTAATATAAGGTGTTGGTGCCAAATATGGTAATCACGGACAAATCGTGTTTCACGGAGGGTTTCAGATATCGATACGGTATCTGACATAGGATAGACTATAGCTTATTCATGGGGCCATGATGGGACACAGCAAGGTCCACAAGGTTGGCAAATTCTTGTGGATCAACCAGGCACAAAAAGTTTGTTTGTTGATGATTTCCGTATGAAATACCATCTATGGGGATTTTACATGTGATAATATGTGCTCCCAGAATCACCCAGGAACCGAGTAAATAATTTATTAGATCAGGACCTTTTACATGCCTTTACAATCTAACCCCAGAATTGATGGTTTGCCATCCAAAACGAGTGAAACCAAAGACACGTGTCATTTATGTCAAACGTACATGAGCCGACAATGGGTCCAGCACTCTTCCGTAGATCTCGTTGTGGGGCCATGTGTGCAGCATTATCTGAATGTTCTCTTTCAACAGCAGGTGTTGTTGGTTAAATCCCCACAATTGGATACAGTTGGTTGTATATTCCCATGAAATCCCCATGAAATCCCCATACTCCCATCATGCTCCAAATACCGGTACCGTCGGTGGAACTGGAGCCAAGGGGATGAGAATCACAACAAGTTGCCGTGTTGGCAAACATCATGGCCCGGCACAAAAAAAAGATATTGAATCATTCCTTATCCCTCCGTTAATCACAGCAATTCAGAATCCTCTAGAAATTGGAGGTTTTCATAGGAAAAACATCTATAAATCATGGATTTTCCGGCAAGCCATGTCTGATTTGCCGGAGGGTAAACTATCTGAAGCAAGCAACACATAGGGCCCACGGATGTAGGGAAGCAATATGGCCTGTCGCTACAGGGGGTCGCTACCAGGGTGACCTGACATGGCTAACCGCATGCCTTTAGTAGGATTTTAATAGGATTTTACGTGTTCATATTTCTTCAATTTTTGTGGGGGTTACTATGTTTACACATTGTTTGCGGCACAAGATTCCGACCCGTAACCATGGGTTTCCATCGTGGTTATTCTAACATGGCAATTTTTAGCGTGCCCGATTTGAGGACTTCTTGCGGGTTGGCGAGGGCAATTTAACTCGATCCATCTTGGAGCAATTTTGACCCATCCCAAGAGCTGGACTGAACATCGTTTCCAATGTATGTGATGAATGTGATGAATGTGATATTAAACATTGTTAAACCATCCCTCGCCTTTTGGTTCTCCTAGTTTATGGATGTTTATGGAAACACTAATGAGAAAAATGTGTGGACCATGGTAAAACCAGAGGTTGAAAAACCCCACAAAGTCCCACAACGTTCAACACGATGGCCCCCGATTTTATCAGATTTCCCGGGAGTCGCAGCCATCAATTCTGCCTGTTTCGGAAAGTGGTTAAGATTTGATGATACATCATTCATGACCCATATGCTCCATGTATGGTATATATACCCACATTTGGTTGGTTTTAGGGAATATATGTTGCCATATGTTGCCATGGTAGATATTAGTCCATACATGGAGCATCTGGGTGATCAGTTCATGACACAGTGATTCAATAATCGAGCTATATGATGATTCAAAGACCTAGACCCTTCAAATACACCCACAAAATGGTTAACGGTTATATAAAGTATATGTTGAAGTACTATTTTTTGATGGGGAAATCAGACAACAGCATTTTTATGGGTACTTGGAGGGTCTAGGTCTAGGTATGAAAACCCATGGCGATGATAGCTTCATCCTTTTGCAAAGTCCTTAAACTCGCTGCTTGAAAGCCCCTTTTTGTTTTTTCTGTTCAAAACAAACACCAAAGATCACCAAAGGCAGTTTGAAGTCCCCAAATAAAAAAAACACGTTCGCTCAGCCTATCTCAACCTCCAGTCGTCTCGTATTATTCAGCTGATTCCATGGATTGATCATGGGATTTTCATGGGATCCATGGGAAAACCCAGGGAAGATTCCATGATTTTCCCATGGATTAACCATATATATAACCATATGTTCATGGGATTTTCCCATGGGAAAATCCCATGAAAATCCCATGGGATTTTCCCTTAACCCCAGCCCACGGTGTCACCGTCTCGCGCAGCTGCGAGATGACTTTGGACAGCAGCTGCGCACGCATCAGGTCCTCGGAGTTGGCCGTCGGAACGTCCCCGGTAACGTCCCCAGGCCTTCGAGGTTTTAATACTGGTTAATATATGGTTAATATATGGTTATTATAGGGTTAATGATGGTTAATAACTATATCTGGTTGGTGGGGCAATAACCATCCTGGTTGATTAATATACCTGGTTAATATATGGTTAATGATGGTTATTATATGGTTAATGATGGTTAATAATATCTGCTTGGTGGTGCAATGTGCCCATCTTGAAAAATGATGGAGTTCGTCAATGGGAAGGATGACATCCCATATATGAAATGGAAAATAAAATTCCATGGTTTGAAACCACCAACCAGAATATGTTGCCCTATCCAGCCGTAGCTTCTTAGGAAGTGGGACTGGGGTATGATTTGGGATCCATAGGGTTGAATCATCAATATGTCAAGTTCATCTACCACTGTCCCATAATGTCCCATATATCCCGCGACTTCATCCCACAAAAAAAAACAGATATATATATATATATAGTTAGTATACTAAGTATGGTTAGTATACTTAATCTATACGTTTTGATCGTCGCAGCGGCGTTTTTCAGAAAGACGTAGATGGTCTCGTAGGCGATCGCCAGGAAGAAGGGATCTGGATTCGTCGTGGAGGCCGCCACCTAGCCGTGGAAGACTACAAGATGGGCCATGCCGTTGGTGGGGTTTAGATATGTTTAGATGGATATTCATATGGGTATGATACAATGGCTACTATGGATTTTCATAATGGGTAAATTATATCTATTATATCTATAATATATTATTTTATATGATGGATCATGGATATGTTTAGATGGTTTATTATGGGTACTATAAAAAAAGGGTTGATGTTGGGTCTGTGATTTGATCATGTGTTTATGGTTTGATCATGGGACGTTTCCTTGGATTTAGATGGGTTTATGGCAATAACACAACTAGGATAATATGGGTTGTAATAATAAGTTATAAGTTACATTCCATATTTCTTATAGGTGGTCATGAGACCAGATTTATCATGCTATAGGGATTTATATGGATTCACGGTAATCCATATGTCTTCCATGTGTTGCCTATGGCTCAAAGAGACGGAAAATTTGGACAATCGACCGTGTATTTCATGGATTAATCTGGAAAAAAACTGGACATGATTGGAGAATCCATGTTGGTCAATATTACACAGTCAGACACAGTTACAGCGGTAAACTTATTGCCCGTCCTGAAGGGGCCCCACCCGGCAGCATGGAACTCAACAGTTAGACCAAAGCTGCCCAAACGATAGAGTAGGCACAATTTCAAGTGGACCAGTTCACAACGTTTCAATTTCTATTCCTCATGACTGTTTGATTGTTACGTCGACTCCCCTAGAAAACCCGAACATATACGGCTGGTGGAAAGTCTCACAAAACCATACAAAACCAGCCAATTTTCCCGCCAAAGCTGAACTTCGCGTAAGTTTCCAGCAAACCTTGCTGTTTGCTGGACGGTAAATCGACAATAAAATCAGCCCCTTTGATGGGTTTTTGAATGGACTTTCATGGACACAATGGATGTCGATGTTTGGCAAAAAAAGTACCCCCCGCAGATAGAAGAAATTGGAAACCTGAACATTGTGGAGGACACATCATCTAAACCATCCTGGAAACACAACTCGCTATTTTCTTGGGGACCCCAAAAAACTCCATGTACTTAAACATAGCAACTGAAAATGCTATGACCATCATGAACATCATGACCATCATGACCCGCGATTGACCGAAGTCGCCTGCAACAAGACATCGAAGACATCCAAACCATTCTCTGCCTTGATATCTGCCATAGCCTTGTCGCAGATCTCCTGTTGACACATGGACTTCCATATCTTCCATAGGATTCGCTTGGTCTGTGGTGGTCCCCAAATAGCTAACGTTGGTCTATAAGTTCATATCAGAAATTATATCATAGTTTAACTATGGTCTATGGTATACATATATATATATATTTATTATCATTATTATTATTATTATTATTGTTATCATTATTATTATTGTTATTATTATTATTGTTATTATTATTATTGTTATTTATATATATATATATATATTATAGATAAGGCAGGTTATGAACCAACAAACATCCCTGGGAGAACCCCACCTTGTAGCTAAACTTTGCTTGAAGCAAAAGAAAACGAAGCATTAGTTATGGACAATGTGTAATGCGGTAACAGTAGCTGCATAACCTTGTACCCCTGGTGAACATCAAAATAGCTGGTAAATCGATGTTCATCCCCCTAAAAAAGGTATCTATAGGTATTGACCCATACCCACATAACAATAGAAACGTGTAGTCTAGTCTTGTGTGTGCGCGTAGTTATAGGGTCTTGTGGAGCCTAGGCTTGGGAAGTACGTTGTGCAAGTTTAACTGGTTTAACCATCCCACATAGACAGATAGACAGACAGACAGACAGACAAATAGATAGATAGATAGATAGATGGATACCCTCTGGTAAACTAACATAACTATGGAAAATCACAATTTTTAATGGGTAAATCAACTATAAATGACCATGTTCAATTGCTATGTTAAATTACCAGAGGGTAGATAGATAGATATAAACATCCCACATATATAAAAACCATCCCTAGAACACCCGACATCAGGACGCCTTCACGTCGCACTTCATCATGGTGATCAGCACTCCAACCAACTCACCGATCAGGGCCACATCATTGGCGGGCCTCAATGCGAAACAAAATTGGACATATAATGTCATATATATAGTATAATAATATAATATGATAGTTGGTTAAATAACAAATAATACTAAGTTAGTTATATAAGAATAATAGGTGGTTATATAATAATCTTACTTCTATATATCTATATTGGGATTTCCATAAATGGGGGTACCCCAGCAGCTGGATTGTTTATGATGGAAAATACCATTAAAATGGATGATTTAGGGGGACCCCCATTTATGGAACCATCATATGGGGGTCTCCCCAGTTATAAGTTCGTTACAAACCCAATGAATACTATAGTCATCTTATATCTCAGTTTTGCTATCTTGGGGGCCCCATCCTGTATGGTGGGTAAAACAATAATAAACCACCCATTTGGGAATGGTTTGTGCCACCTATAAAAATGGTGATGACTGGGGGATGGTTTATTATTGTTTTACCCACATTACCCCAAATCATCCATTTCATTTTCAGATGATTTTACAAAACCCCCATATGTACATGGCTATGAGTCAAAACCCTCATACCCATATATATAATATATATATATATAGTGGTTTTGACCCGTCCCCATATCTGTAAAATGAAGGTAAAATGGGAATAACCAACAGAATATGAATGGAATATTGGTTGATAATATTGGTTAATACCCTCCCTCCGGTGGAAACTCAAACATGGCTGGCTGGGAAAACCCCTATATTTGAATGGACGCTTGTAGCTGGGAAAAACATCTAAAAATGGGGGGTCCAGAAAGCCATGTTTGACAACCAGTGGTATATCATCCACCTTTGGACATGCCCGTGACCTTTCGAAAACGCAAAGAAGCTGACGCACGTGAGGGCAGAGTAGGATCTATATAGGTTGTCTAGGACTCGTTGCGCTTAAGCCTTTGATTGCGTCCAGTTGGGCAACATTCCCCAAGGACTCGCAGCGCTCTCGGCGCGGACTTCGATTTTCGCTGATTGCAGGATGCTGCAGGCCATCCTCCCATTGAAATTCTCCTGATATCTGGGTAAATTACAATTCACCAACCTGAAACTTGTGGCCCACCATGGGGATTCCCGGAATCCGAGAATGCTTCGGTCCGGACGTGTCACTTTGATAAAATTGCCCAGATGTCAGGTATTAGACATCCAGATTTGGCGTGGATTATGGTTCTATCCCCTTCTTAAGCCCATCCCAGTGAAATGTCCGCAAGAATATGACAGCCTCTTCCCAAATGGCACGTGTCAAAAAGCTCAAAGAGCTATTGATCTGGGCAAATTAAAATAATTCACTAACCTGAAATAAGACCATATTGGGATCATTCCCCTTACAAGTCCCATTATTCCAGTGAGGGAAAACAGTGAGGTCGTTGTAATTTACCAACATTGATCTCATTACTGTAGAATCCTTTCATATCCCATAATGTCCCCATATTCTTTGGCCACAACTTTGGGCAAATGTAAAATTTGCCCAGCTTTTTTTACGCGGATAATAGAATTGTTAACCAACAATTCTGCCACTTTGGTTACAGTAATGCCAAATATTACAGCCCTTATGATAGCCCTATTATATAATATTATATATCATATAAGTGCCAAATACCTACGTACTAGTCTAGCCGGCAATTATTTTAAAAATCAGCCAACTAGCTACTAAATACCTATGTACTAGGTATGTGACTTATTAACTCACAATTTCTACTGCGCCATTTCGCCCTCGCCGGCGCCAAGAAACAATTCGCTGAGCCGCGCCAAAGGCAATGGGGAACCTCCTTCCTGAAGTCGCCTCTGCAAACGGTTGATTTTCGAAAACGTTGATCTTCCCAGTGAAAAATGGTGATTTTTGAATGGTGTGTTTATGAAGATTTAACCATCCTGAAGTGGACGGGAAATATAAGTGTCAAAAATATGTTCATTTTAGTGATGTTTTTTTATTGAAAAGTCCATAGTCTATCTACTCAAGAATGACTATACATAAACTAATGTATTTTTATGATATTATATTATATATATATGTCATATGATTTACTCTGGTATAGTTGTTCGATTCAATTTATGTATTTTTTGATGTTTTTTAAGAATTAATATGGAATTGTCCACCAATGGCGGATGTTAACTATTATTAAAACCCATCGAAATTGAAACATCACGGGGATATAATGGAACATGGCCAACAATATGATCAGAACATATCGATTTTCTTCAAACAAAATCCCTCAAAATATCCCACGTGGTGGATCGACCAAACGAAAATGACAATTCCTCTCTCTTCAAGTGCAAGAAACACTTGAGGGCCAGCGGATGCCAGCAACATCTTGAAAGTCCATGGGATTTCCCGACACACCTGGATAGTTCTTTTCTGGGACCCTATGCCTCCCGAATTGCCAAGAAACCCCAATCACGATTTGTTGATGTCAATTTGACGGTTGCACAGATCATCCAGACCCATAACTCCAAACCGTTTAAGTTGTTTTTGATGTTTACGTTCTATTCATTTCAAGTATGTGCCCTAAAGACATCAGATTTTCTCACACATTGATCCAGTTATATCATTCAACAAAACAGTTAGGTGGGAGTTTGGAGACCAACAAATCAAGGAGTTGGAGACTTGACCAAATTCAAAAGTTTGGGATGAAATGTTCACCCAGTTTGTGTATCAAAATTATGAATAATATGTGCCCATATTTAATATACAAATATCATGAGATATCAATACATCCAGATGTATTTCTTTTAATACGATGTCATATAACCATAAAAACCATTACATAATATGGTGTTCATGTGTTTTTCAATGCCATATAGAGGTTTCCCCACACGGAGTACCCCTAAATCATCAATTTTCTGGAACTTCCACTATAAACCCATCCACCATCAATTTTGGGGATCCCCCATTTACCCTCTGGTAAACATACAAAAAAAACTATGGAACATCACTTTTTAAAGGTAAATCAACGATTTCTATGGCCATGTTCAATAGCAAACTGTTAGTTTACCAGAAAGTAACATTAAAATTCCACTAAATCACCATTTTTCTTGACTAAATCCCATTAAATCACCATTAATATCCATTCATATCCTATTATATCACCAGAAGGCATTGCGGCTGTTTGTCCACACCACTCAACGACCCAGTATCACCTCCTCGCGCGGGACCAGCACCGGGTGTGCAAGCCTTGCTCCAGGAAGTACTTTGCGGCCTGGAAAAGGTGAAACTGAGGATGTGACGGCCAGTAACTATGGTCCTATGTGTGTGTGTGATCAAAATATATAATATTTATGTAGTTCATTATATATATATATATTATCATCATTAGTGTAATACATACTAAAAAAATACTTACATACAAATATGTACATATATATATATATATTGTCCTTAAATATATAGTTAATATATATATATATATACATACACAAAACATTTCAAAAAAAAACATATGTATATATATATATATGATTATATATGTGTGTTGAACAACAATATACGTTGATATTGAAAAGAAAAAACTTGAAATATATATATATGTATGTAAATATATATATGTATATATACATATTGTATTGGGTACGTTTTCTTTACATATACACTACATTCTAAATATTGAATGACTATTCAATATATATATATAATGTAAGTGCAGTATATACTATATGAGTTTAAAAACACCTATAATATATATGTATACATATAAAAATAGATTATTGATTAACAATGTATAATATGTATGTTCTTAACTAATTACTCGCATGTGGTTGGGAAAGTCTTAGTAGCATTTAGTTGCCAGCTGGCTCCTCATGCAAGATGTTGAGAATATCCAGAGCCCAACCGCTCCTTAGTTCCGTGCACCACTTGATAGTTATAATATGAATGACAAAGAATCAGACTTCAACTGATATCCTATTATGATTCCTTGTTGTACATAAATATATGTATGTATGGTTATATATATATAGAGAGATGTTATTGTCTATATTAAAGCACACTATAATATATTATGTGTTACTATTTAGTAACTATTTGCACATATATATTATAACATATATAATTTTAAATAATACATACAATCAGCGTAATAATACGCAATATATATTTAAAATAATCATAGAAAATAACACCCAAACAACAACCCCCTCGTTCATTGCGGCCATTCATCCTGGCCTTCACCCCGGCATCGCCCGAGGCGGACATGAGGTTACGACCCAAGCGCAGGAGCCGCAGGAAGGCGTTCTTCGCCTGCGCCCGATAAAATGGGGGGGGCCTAAGTTACCCTCTGGTAAACTAACATAACTATGGAAAATCACCATTTTTAATGGGAAAATCCACTATAAATGGTCATGTTCAATAGCTATGTTAAATTACCAGAGGGTAAGTTAGTTTTACTGGAGGCTATGGGATACCATGGGGATATCTTGGGAAAATCGACTGATTGTTTTTTTCGCGAAGAACAAAACAAGGGGAGTCTATCACAAGGTGAGGATCCCCAGGTGGTTATGGTTAGTTTATAAAGCCATGAATACTAGTTCGTTACATCCCCCATAAATCCAAAGGTTAACCAAGATATTGCCGTCAACTTAGCTATCTAGGTGTCGTCATCTTGATTTAAAACTTGGATTTATCTGGAGTTTCTGACAGTTGGCGAAAAAAATACGCAATGATTTGAAAACAAAATTCACATCACGCATTTCGGGATTGAATGGGAGATATCTGGTTGGTGGTGCAATAACAATCTTGAAAAATATGAGTTCGTCAATTCTAGAAGGATGACATCCCATATATCAATGGGAAAATTGATAATTCCATGCTTTGAAACCACCAAGCAGATTTTTTTTTGATCATATTTTCATGTGGAGATTCTTGGGATCGTCATGGATCAATGGCCATGACTCAGGAACCGATAAAAATTGGAGGTACCTACCATATGTAAGGCCTTTGTCAGGCCTATGTAAGGGGATATACCCGCAAAATATGGCCAGAAATATGGCACAGTACCTCCATTTTAGGATCCTGGAATTCCCATTGCAATGGGGCAAGATTCTTGGGATAACTGGCAGGAGCCCACTGATTTTCTGGGGTCGAACTGGCGACACCTCCAATTCAATCAATCCAATGGATATTCATGTAAGGATGTTATAGGATGTTTACCCTCTGGTAATCATGGCTTCCAAATCCACGTTAGTTGACGTGACTTTTCCCATGACAACATCTATATCCTATTTCCCCGTGCCACGGTCGATTTATGCACTGTGTTGCGCCCAAGTATGTGATTTCATCTGCTAATAAAATACTCTGGAGATCATCAAAGTATACCCTATGGTGAACTCCGGTGAACTGGAACATTATGTAGTTTGCCATATCCCCTTATATAATTTATCATATATATATATACACATATATATATATATATTGCCAGCCAAAAACATCGACTGGAAAACATACATAGAACCTAAAGCCAGGAATCCAAGTGCGGCTAAAAACATCTTCAAAACATGTCCAAACCTACAATATTGGAGTTCAAAAATGTTCCAAATGTAAATTTTTGGGGGCGCAACCATTACATCTTGGGATCGCATCCCACTTAGTAAGTGGTTAAACAACTATGGCATTACTGACTTATCTATGTGGTGTATTCCCCATGTATATACATATAAAATATGGCTTGGTCCAAAAGTATGGTACCAAAAGAGAAACAAATGATGCTTGATCATGATATTCCCTATTTTCAGATAACAATTTTGGGATATTTTGGGTGTCCCTCATTTCTGGACCCATTATCATCAGATTGCTGGCTCTCCCATGATCATAAACTTGTCTCATTGTCCCATTGTTGTCCGTCATCATCCCATTCTCATCTAGGTTTATTATGGTTCAATTTATATATATATATATGTGTGTATTATGTATATATATAGCACCACCACAATATTACACTACCTTATGTTTCCCGCTCAACTTTTCTATTTGGTTGTTACTACATGGCCCATATCATCCAGTATCATCCAGTATCCACTGGAACGCACGCCTCACTACTGCCCAACAGGGTGGCTTCCGTGAAGCCCTGGTTATCGCTCTCATGCCTGTCGGCTCCAGCAGCGGACCCGGATAGCATGGAGAGGTTGGAAGGGGAAAACATGGGAAAACCATGACAAACAATGGGAAAATCAGACGTGACAGAACCCCCAGAAATATGTCTTTTTTAGATGGTTTTCCTATAATTTCCTCTTGTCATGGCAACTGTTTCCATCATTTTTAAATGAAAAAGTGACTGGGACTGGCAAGGGGCAACTCACAGCCCGGTTCCCCGGCAGCAGCATGCAGATCATTCTACCAGAAGGACCTAAGGACCTTCCCTTCATCCAAATGGCGGTTGGAAACATGGAGAGATGGGAAGGTTTCAGAAACCGGTTGGGAGCCCTAACCGAGATGGAGACCGAAGCTGAGAGATTCATCTGCGAGTGGCGTTTCTCGAGCACTGAACTGAGAACATGCTTAGTTGTTTGCCATCCAATCAACTGGAATCCTGATTGTGCTCAGTTCAGTGGTTCGGATCTAAATCTAGCCAAGGATTATATCATCACTGTTGATTAACCGTTCCACATGGTTGGCAACTAGATCCAACTGTTGATCAACTGCTGATCAACTGTTGATTCACTGTTTTTTTCTTCGCTGTTGATGAACTGCTCCACATGGTCAACAACTACCATCTGGTAATTTAACATAACTATGGAAAATCACCATTATTAATGGGTAAATCCACTATAAATGGCCATTTTCAATAGCTATGTTAAATTACCAGAGGGTAACTAAGAACTGTTCCACTCAGATGTTCGATAATATCCCTGTCCTCCAGCCGCGTCCAAGCGCGCCTCACCACCGCCAGATGTGCGTCCATGCTGACGCACAAGGCCGCATTGTGCGGGTCCGCGGTGGCTGACACCAACCTGGGACTCGGGGAAGAGGACAAACTCCAGGACGATGGGATGATTTTTGGTGAATGTTTGAAGATCTTGGTGGATTGTTTGGTGAATGTTTGTTGATTTCTATTGTCTTACTTGTTTGAGGATCTTTGGGATGTTTGATGAATTTAGCAGGGAAGATCTAGAAGAACTTCTGTTGAAGTCTGGTTTGAAGTATTTGTTATATGGATATGTATGAATTCATGTGTAATTTTTCTTATTTTCTGGTGTGTGATCAGTGTCAACCCACTTCATTCAAAAAAACACACATGGACACGTTTCTCACCCGCCCACTTGGGTTTACCAAATCTTCGAACTCTTCGATCAAAATCAGGTTTGCACCTCCCTATTTGTTTTGGCTCTGGGTTTGTCTGAAAATAGGGGAGACCTCCAAACGGCCATTTATCATCGAGAAAATGGCCATGAACATGAGGTTCAATTTGGATTTGGGGGTACCTGATTTTTAGACTGGTGGTATACCTACCCTCTGAAAAATATGAGTTCGTCAGTTGGGATTCTTATTCCCAATATATGGGAAAATAAAAAATGTTCCAAACCACCAGTCAGATATTGTCTTGTCAGATGAGATAATAAACCCAATAATAATCACAGTCCCCAAGAAAGAGGCTTACCATGTTTTTCTATCATCCTTTTAGCTAGGGTGATGTGCATTATTAAAATTATCTACCCCATGTCATGGTTGCTGTGATGCTTCACAAATCTTCAGCAAAAATATTGGATTGACCGGCGATGTTCTAGTCGATTGGGATAATCATCCCAAACGGGACAAAGCAACACATCCGTAAACCCTGAAACTATAGTAAAGGAACACTACATTCTACAAATTCTACAACCAAACAAAATAAACACTATTAATATCTATTGATTGCATCGGCTACTATATACCCAAATTTCCATGGTTGATCATCGTTTTCTCCATTGAAAAAAACACAGTACCAGGTGAGGTCTAGTGACTAAGTTGCAACGTTTAAATCATTTGGTGAACATTTGGGTTTCAAGGGAACATGACTTATCACTAAAATTACAACCATGTCACTAACAAAAACTGTAGTTCATGGGTTTTATCAAACAACTATATAAAGTTACATATAACCAACCAGGGTTGGGCCTAGGGTTGGTTGAAACGCGTTTACCAACTAGTTTACCAACTATATATATATATAAAATATATATATATATATAAAATATATATATATATATACACTATCAAATATAACCAACTATCATTTTTGTATAAACCATTAGTTGGTATAGTTTATCTGGTTGGTGGTTTCACCCTGAAAAATATGAGTTCGTCAGATTGGATCATCCCAACTATTGGGGAAAATAAAAAATGTTCCCAACCACGTCCAAGCTGCACGGCCAGGCTGTTGACCCAGGCGTTCCAGCTGTAGTTGTTGCCATCGCCCAGCTCGGCCGCCTGATTTTTTTGGGGACGAGCTGCAAAAAACTGGGAGTTCATGAAATGATCAGAAAACAGGGGATTGAGGTGGGAGTTTTGAGTTGGAATTAGGAGAAATAGGATGGGATTTGTGGTGGACCTGTGTGGACATATCAGTTCAACTGGATGAAATAGGTGAAAACAAAGGAAACTGAAATACCTGGACCCACTTTGTGCGTGTGTGTTTGCCCAGAAACCACTGATTTCCCCTCATTTTATTAAGGAAAATGACAGAAAAACAGTGGAATTTGAAGTTTGAAGCGCCCGGTTTCAAGAATAACCATGTGTCGTTCTACGAGCCTCGCAGCTGCCCTGAGGTCACACCAACATAAAGCTGGAGTTTATGGATACTCGTCCCTCAGGCCTCGTATAATGTCCTATTAAAACACATTAAGACATATTAAAACATACATATATGCATACATCCCCATCATCAATCATCAACATCATCATCATCATCATCGTCATCGTCACCGTCATCATCGTCATCGTCATCGTCATCGTCACCGTCATCGTCATCATCATTTTCATCATCATCCTCATCATCCTCATCATCCTCATCCTCCTCCTCCTCCTCATCATCATCATCATCATCATGATCGTCATCTTCATCATCATTATCATCATTATCATCATCATCCTCATCATCCTCATCATCCTCATCCTCCTCCTCCTCCTCCTCTTCATCATCCTCATCATTCTCATCCTCCTCCTCCTCTTCATCATCATCATCATCATCACCCTCATCATCCTCATCCTCCTACTCCTCCTCATCATCCTCCTCCTCTTCATCATCATCATCACCATCATCACCCTCATCATCCTCATCCTCCTCCTCCTCCTCCTCCTCTTCATCATCATCATCATCATCATCATCACCCTCATCATCCTCATCCTCCTCCGCCTCCTCCTCCTCCTCATCATCATCATCATCGTCATCATCATTATCATCATCATCCTCATCATCCTCATCATCCTCATCATCCTCCTCCTCATCATCCTCATCATCCTCATCCTCCTCCTCCTCTTCATCATCATCATCATCATCACCCTCATCAACCTCATCCTCCTCCTCCTCCTCATCATCCTCCTCCTCTTCTTCATCATCATCATCATCGTCACCGTCATCGTCATCATCATTATCATCATCATCCTCATCATCCTCATCCTCCTCCTCCTTCTCCTCCGCATCATCCTCCTCCTCCTCCTCCTCCTCCTCCTCCTCCTCCTCCTGTTCCTTCTCATCATCATCAATCATCATCATCGCCATCATCATTATCATCATCATCATCATCATCATAATCATCCTCATCATCCTCATCATCCTCATCCTCCTCTTCTTCTTCATCATCATCATCATTACCCTCATCATCATCATCATCATCATCATCATCATCATCATCATCATCCTCCTCATCATCATTATCATCCTCCTCCTCCTCATCATCATCATCATCGCCATCATCATCACCATCACATCAGATCACATCACATCACATCACACCATCATCATCATCATCATCATCATCATCATCATCATCATCATAGTCATCATCATCATCGTCGTCATCGTCATCGTCATCGTCAGCGTCATCGTCTTCGTCGTCATCATCACCATCACAATCACCATCATCATCACCATCATCATCATCATCATCATACATCATACATCATTCGTCATTTATATTGGTATTAGATATACATATAAATATATATATATATATATTCTACATTCCTGAAACATGTTGTGTCTGTTACGTAACTTAACAACCCATTTCAGAACTTGGGCGATCATCTCAGTTCATATTCTTAAAAATCCGGGTGCTGATCAATATAACAATAAGAAAGCGCATGTTCAAAATACCTTATGATTCTTATGATTAATGATCTTCCAGCAAGTCAGGTTAAGAACCTTTTGAGACGATAATTAGGCTAACTGGGATGAGTTTTATCATTGCCATCTCATTCACCATTGTCATTGTCATTGTCAACATTTTGTTTGCTGATCATCACTAGTAACCAGTTCCAAACTGGCATCACTATCTCAGTCAAGTTTCCAGCTGCACATGCTGCATCACGATCATCATGCTGCCAAATGTTTTTTATTTCAGAGTCTATTACACGTATTATTAAATAACAACTATATCAGTGGTTTTGCATTGGTTTCGCATTGGTTTTCCCTTCATTTGTCATCAAACATCAGAACAAGCAAACCAGGGCTCTCAATGGCATTGCTGAGGTGGATGGCATTATATCTATTTAGATTGATGAATGGTTTCCGAGGAAATGGGGTCATATGATGACTATTATCCCATATCCTACTGATATGAGATTAATATGATAGAGATTGAGAGAGGATAATATGGGATTTTCTTGGATGATATATGGGATGATTACATGGGATATATGATGGAATTTAAAATGGAATGATTGTAATGGGAGTATTCCTCGGTATATATATATATAATATGGGACCTAGCGAGTTTGAGGATATATATATATATACATACCACATCTACGCTCGCAGCATATGTGGGGGCCCGTGCCACAACGTTGGCCTGGCTTGGCTTTCTGGCATCCGTGTGTGAGGTTGAAATCATAGCAAATGGGCTCACCTGATTTTGATGTGCTGGCATGTCCAAGAAGTTCTCGAGTAGGTGGCGCTGGTGTGCGACGGCCCTTAGATTTGCCTTTGGGCGTAGGGCGAGGCGGGTTCTTTGGTTCACCGCCTGCCGTGCGCTTTGTGGCATTGGCCGCAGGTCGCGGCAGGGAATGGCAATGGAAAGCAATCTCAGGGTGGAGCTTGGGCTCGCCTTCTTGTCAAGAGGCTTGGAACCATCTTGGAACCATCTGCCAGCATCTCCAAGATCAGTACCCTCTGGTAAACTAACATAGCTATGGAAAGATCCACCATTTTTAATGGGAAAACTCACTATAAATGGCCATTTTCAATAGCTATGTTAGTCATTACCAGAGGGTAAATCCTCAGTTTTTCCTGTTTGGGTATGGGTCAATACCTATAGATACATTTTTAGTGGGATGAACATCCATAAATCCCAGCTATTTTGATGTTCACCAGGGGTACTATAGGTTTTGACCCATCCCCAGTTTTTCCTGTTTCAAACCCATTTTCCTTGGTGAACTCCGCCATTTTCCCCGGTAAACGTCCGTCGCACCTCGGTGCGCTTCACACGGCCCACAGGGCGCACGTGCAGCGTGCGCGTGGCGCAGCGGCGGCGCAGCGAGGCCAAACTCTGGGCTTTCTGCTGCTTGAAGTAGACCTGCCGATGGTTGGTGATTCATACTGAGGATCATCATAATTATAGAATATTATAGATCATTAATGTTACTATAATGATATACATATACCCATCATTATAGATCATTATAGATCATTAATGTTACCCTCTGGTAAACATACAAAAAAACTATGGAAAGATCCACCATTTTTAATAGGGAAATCAACTATTTCTATGGCCATTTTCAATAGATATGTAACAAATTACCAGAGGGTAATCCTGAGGATCATCATTATAGATCATTATAGATCATTAATGTTAATATAATGTTACTATAATGATATATACCCTCTGGTAAGCTAACAGATTGCTATTGAGAATTGCCCGTTTATAGTGGATTTACCCATTGAAAATGGTGATGTTCCATAGTTATGTTAGTTTACCAGAGGGTAATGTATAGGATATGGGACTATATTAATGATAATATAGGGACATCCATGGGATAATGATTTCTATATGATGGAGAACCTCATATGCGATTTGTAGCTATACCATAATTATAATGATTCTAATTAAATGGGATTACAATATCCGGTAGGATTAATATTATAAAGGATCATCATTATAGGATATGGGACTATATGATATAGGATTATAGATCATAGATGCAATCATTATAGATAGGTATGATGTTAATATTATGATCATTAATTACATAATTGATATGAGTAATGATTATAGAGGAATTGGTAGTTTCATGTGTTATATACATATATATATACATAATATATTCATGATATAGGGATATCGGATGTATATGTATCCTACTTATTGGGATTATCAACTAATGGGAGCCATGGATGATTTGTATATGATAGGGAAGCTCGTATGGAATTTAGACCTATACCATGATTAATAGTCATATAATGATGTCTCACATGGGATTACAATATCCTGTAGGATTAATATTATTGAGGATAATCATTATAGGATTCCTCTCGCTATCTATGTTACCCTTCAGTAAATTAACATAGACCCTGGTAGATAGGGGTTGGAAGATTAGTTTCCTCTAAAAATTGGTGATTTTCAGGGTCTATGTTAATTTACCAGAGGGTATATGAAATATGTATGAGGATGTTTTGGGATTTCGAGGATAGATACAGTGGTGATTCCGCAAAATCCAATGGACTTCGATCAGCTATATATGTATATATCGTATCTGAAACGGATGGTATGGTTATAATGGGATCATGATGGGGTTCTTCCTATGACATAGGTCCTATGATGGATCAATTGTATGTAAATAGACCATGTATCATCTACAAATGTGGTAAGCCCGTAATAATAAACCATCCCCAAAGTCACCTTTTCAATGGGTGGTGACTTAAACCATGCCCATCTGGGGATGATTTATTGTACTTCTAAACATCACTGACACGATGAGGTCGTGATCAATTTATCCAGATAATCAAAAAAAAATCGCATAATATCCCCATGATGCTACTATTCTTGTGGGTAAAGCCTCCGTTTTTCTGGGTTGAATCGCAGTTTTTGTGGTTTTTCAATAGCAAAGCCCAAAACAGATGGGGAAGTTGGATGAAGTTGGACATGTGGGCAATTATGGAGGAAGCATCATCGAAACAAGATCCTGGAAACGCTGCTCTGGCATCTTCTTTGGCATCTTCAGGAAATCTCACAAGTCTGCAAAAATCACCGATGATCTATGGCTTAAATCCACATTGTTCATGGCAAAATCCAGATACCCTCTGGTAAACTAACACAGCTATGGAAAATCACCATTTTTAATGGGAAAATCCACTATAAATGACCATTTTCAATAGCTATGTTAGTCATTACCAGAGGGTATGTTCATGGTTTCATCATGGCTTAAATCCAGATTTTCATGGCTAAAAATCCCCAAAATGGGGATGGATAACTTGGCCTTGACCATGCCATCCTCTGAGGCCGCTTCGAGGACAAAGCCACCGAAGCCCTGTGGGAACTGGGCTGGAGAATGGATCATCTACCCTCTGGTTATGACTAACAGTTCGCCATGGTATAGATGGCCCATAGAAATAGATGATTTTCCCAGCTAGAAACCTCCATTTATGGTTGGGATTTTCCATGGCTATGTTTAACATGTTAGTCATAAGCAAATGGTATATATTTTTTTCTACTGTGGATGGTTGCGAAATCCTGCACCAGTTGATTCAGCCATCCAGGAAAATGGTGATTTTCTGTATGTTAGTTTACCAGAGGGTATCTAGTGGATATTTGTAGTGATATGGATAGATATATAGTGATATCATCTATCTAGTGATATGAAATATAGTGGATATAGTTTATTTTTCCTAATATCAGTAGAGAAGAATACAGTCTAGTGGATATATAGTGAATATGTACAGTGGAATCTACATATATTCGATGATTTACATACAGTAGTATATATATATATATAGAGATTAGCTCTATAATGACCATATAAGATTATATAATTATATGTATGGTAATTAGATGATTACCATATTATATATACATTATAAAATATCATTTATGTAAATCCAATTACCATATATATATATACATATGTATTGGAAAAAGAAAACTGTGGTGATTATATAAACATATCCATGGATTATATGTGCTATATTGATTAACAATATATGATACATCATCTATTTGTGGTAATACATTATATACTTCTAGATATTGGATGATTTGTATCGTGGATTTATAGATTAACTATATAAGTACAATATATATATATGTATATACATATACTATACATGGATTAACAATAATATTGTAACTAAGGATATATTCTATATTGGATTATTATATTATACATTATATTCATATATGTATATATACGTGTATATATATGGTAGTTGGTTTTATATTATAGTGTATATAGAATCTAATTAGCCTAATCTTGGATCAATCTAATTACACAATCTATATATCTAATATAATTTTATATATCTTATATTGGGGTTTCCTGAAATGGAGATACCGCAAATCATCCAAGTCATTCGGCCATTTTAGTATTGAAACATGTAACATATGGTTTTGGGGTACCCCCATTTTAGGAAACCTCTAGCATAATAATTGGTGCACTAGGGTTGAAATCCGGGGCTTGATGTACAGGGTGCCGTACACGTACAATGCATTAGTCATGAACGTTGTATTAGATCCTTCATGAACGTCTGTGGAAGTGAGAAATTTGACCAACGAAAAAAGTGCTTGGTTCGATCAGGTCAAATCCACGTTTTGACGGCACCATAATTAGATCCCAAATTCGATAGCTTAATTGTTAAATATGTTGAATTGCTACTAGTACTTAAAAGATCTTAAGTCTCGTCTGGTTGACCACTCAAATAGTTTCTTGCAAATTGAAGCCCCAATACATCAGATTAGGCATTGCTAAATCCCCTTTTTAGATCATGTTGAATCATGTTATATATATATATAGATCCTGCAATTTTGTTGGCTACCCTGCGGCAAGTTTTAACAGTTTACTATGGAAAATCACAACCACTTTTAACAGGTATATCCATCTATAAACAGGCACTTTTCCGTAGCTAAGTGAAAACATGCCAGAATGTAGTTCCCATATGTTCCAATCAATATCCTCGCTTTTGTTGCTTAAATCCCCATGAATCACGATTTCCTCCTGTGAAATCCCATTTAAACCTATTTAAACCATTATTTAAACAATATGTTCACCATATTTTCACAGCTTTAAATCTTACTATGAAGCATTAACACCCCCCCATTTGTCGATGTGTCACAGAACGGCACCTGACGCGAGCATTTCTCCTGGAAGCTCAGGAGGTTCATCTCAACTTCGATGACCTGACAGGGGAGAGCATCGGGTCCCTGGATGAAGGAATTCAGCGACAAAAAAATATGGTGGGATATTGCGATAGAATGGTGGGATAGAATGGGATTGTTTTATGGGCGGATATTGTGATAGAATGGATAGAATGGGAAATGAGGGGAATCATATGCTGGGATAGAATGGGATACTGGGATAGAATGGGAATGGGAATATGGATTTTGGATGATTTTGGTATCCAAATTGGGTTCGGTTTATAATGTATCTTATGGTGACGGATGATTAGATATTCCATATAATACGGGAAATGACGGGAGATTAAGTGGGATAGAATGGGATTGTTTTATTCTTCTAAATAGCAACCAAACAGCAACCCTGCAATAGATAAGACAGTTGGAATTTTGGATATGGGTTTCAACATCATGGACATAAAAATCCCTATAATCTAAGTCATTGGATATATACACCACACAAAATATGGGGCTCTATCAGGTCGCTTGACAACCGGAAGTGGACATCAAACTTAACATTTATCCACCGGAAATTTAAGGCACCTGGTTCCCAACACTCCACGTGTCCAACTTCGCCATGTCTGGGCTTTGGAACTTCCCACAACATGGGCATCTAGCTTCATCCTGTACCACTAAAACCACAAGACTGTGCCCCCTGCTGGAAGTTGGTTCATAGACCCATCATGACCCATCTCTCATATAATAGATTAATTATACATCCCTAGTTAACCCACTTGTAAACCAACTTCACCAACAGCATACAACCATCGATTCTACACTAAATATAACCTTTTCAATACCTTTTTCAAGTAATTTGTTCATTTTGTAGATGTTGGTTGCTTCTAACCCCCATGGCCCATCCAAGAAAGTCGTTATTGGCTTAACGGGAACAACTTCCAAACACGCTGTTTCCGGAGATGTGACCCCAAAAAAACCAATCCATTGACCTTCCGCATCTTTGGTGAGAAAAGAAACCCATGGAAATCCCCATGAAATCAAGCGATTAAACTAACCACCATGGAAATCGCCAGTAGATCCCGTTGCCATTCAATCCCACGAATTCCTAATCTTCACTAGATCCCATTGAATCAAAAAATCACCACTATATAACCCATAGGATCCATGTATGCTATATATGCTAACATTGGGATACATTGGGGGTATATTGATGGTAAATGTTACCATATATAGCATACATGGATCCTATGGGTAAATCATGATAAATCCCACCAAAAGATCTCGGCCTCCGCCGCTTCTCCGGGGAAGGCGTCGAAACCGGTGTACTCTGCCCAGCGGTCGAAGGGCAAATCCGGACCTCGCGACCGCTTGGCGGTGAACGGCGGTGAATGGCGGTTGAATGGGACTTGAATGGGATTTAAGAGGATTGAATGGGGAAATCATGGTTAATTGATGTTAATTGTGGTGAAACTTTCATAATCATGAATACTTGATGGATCTTTTGATGGATCTTTTGATGGATCTTTTGATGGATCTTTTGATGGATCTTAATGGAAATTTTGATGGTGGGAATTACCCTATATAGGCTAAACATATGGTAAACATATGGTAAACATACCAAAAAATGCTGAGAAAAGCCATGGGGAAACTTCCCCGTTACAAAAAGGATCTGCAAATGGTGGATGTTCCACGCATCTACGTTGGTTTACCGCAGGGTAGGACGTGTGTATGTCTGTGCGCGTATGTATGAGTATGTATAATATTGTATAATCATATATATATACAATACTTGTTAACGTATCATGCAAATTAATATATTTGATACCAAAATAAATACAGAATTATTATAGATGCTTACATGCTGAATCCTGATGATGCTGATATATCTTCGGATCTTAGTACCACCAGGCTGAAATCACCTGGTTACAAACCACCTGGATGGTCTAATTTGCTCCAAATGGTGGATGATAAAGATTGCAAAATGAGTTCAACTCCAACAATTGGAACATGCATTTTAATGTATTTTATGTATAGTCCTGACATGGTATTGTCAACAAAAAACAACCAACCAAGTTGAAGAACAATCCGCTACCTGGTTTGTGAAGCTCTCGATAATAATGGCTGCATGGTGCTAATCCCTTGCTTTTTGATCTTGAAATGACCAAATTTGACGAAGAAATACGAAGAATCATGTAATGATGATGTCATCTACTAGTAGCATCAACTACCCAACGGGATCCGCCGACATGAAAGGGGTACCTGGGACTAGTATATGGAGATCGAGTGGCCTTTGCAACACCCTAAAAACAAAGAACTAAAAACATGAAAATGACGACGTGTATCTTGGGGGTTACGATAATCAGGCAAAAACAGAAAACAACACCAGCTTAAGTATGTAATTCATCAAACCATCAAAGAAACAAAAACCCCTGGCAGTTTCACTGATGGCAATGGTGGATTCTCACCTGCCATTTCGTAGAAATTTCTTCCCATGTTCGCGAAATGTTCCTGGTTTCATCTATCCTCCCACAGACTTGGACGTGCATAGCCATTGCATAGCTGGGTAATGCTGGGTATATCCCGCTGTGGCTGTACAGCAATCGATAATGTCTAACCACCAAGCGGGATGCGTTCTGTACTCCGGCAATGGAAACAACCATCAGGTCGACACTGTCCGACAGTTCCACAGTTCCAACAGCAAAACTATGCCAAACTGAGCTAAAACGAAACTGGGATCAAGGTTGAACCTCTGGGCTCAAGATGTCACAGATGTACTAATACTAACACTGACTATGAACCACCTCATGTGTAGATGAGCTCTAACAAAGCATCTTCTCTCAGGAACTCGCTTGGATTCGGTGGAGAAAAATCCTGTCGAATGGCCCTTTAGGCGCCATGTTGTACTGGACATAGCTGGCTGGCAGCTGTGCCCAAACTTCCTGACTGGCTGGCTGTTGGAGACAATGCGAATGAGGATGCGTTGCTGATGACAGCCATGCCATAAAAGACAATCACCAACTTGTGCGCCCAGCCGCCCAGCATTACCCAGCTGCACACCTTCGAGGCCTTCCTACTTGGTGGTGAACTACCCCCAGGAATCGTGTGGCTTAGTTTACCCCACGAAAAAGACATAAAAAAACATCTTTATAACTGGACATTGCCCCTTACTGTACTGAATTCTCTGAAGTTGTTGCCAACCTAAGCTAAAGCAGCTAACTGTACCTGGGGTGAACCAGCCTGTTGCCTTCCACCGACCCTGGGCCCCACCTAAGACATCGCGAGGTTCACGGCACAGCACGGGCAAAAAGGGGCGCAGCACCCGAGCGCGCCAGGGCGAGATCATGCGATCGTACAAGGTGCCTTGGGAGCAAGAGAAATGTTGGACCCCAAACATGTGGGATTTGTTTTCCAAAAAGAATGGTTTGAAAATGCTGGAAACATGTTGAAGCTATTCTATAAATATATATATCATGGTATGTTAAGGTAGCCAGGGATCATCGGGTCTGGCCAACACTGGTCAATTAGCTTGTCAGGTCCATTAAAACTAGTGAAGCCAATGCAATCCCAAACGATCCCAAAAGAAACATTCATAATCGTGATTTTTTGGGGTATGATTCGGGGGTATGATTCGGGGTATGATTCGGGGGTATGATTCGCACAACTCGAACATCCTGCCTTTACTAAAATCTGCACACGTTAAAAAAACACAGCCATATATGTATAGTTAATTTGATCCCGGATGATGATAATTGAGATACACCATGGAATCCCATGGAATACCGGATATGAACCACGGACAGTATTGGGCACATTGCATAATCGACTACCTCGTTCTCAAGGTGTTCCTATATGGTCTTGCAACCTAACTATAGCGTTTTCAAAAAAACAGAGTACGCGGAACACTGCACTTCACTTCACAAAATAAAGTGTTATCTGGTTATCTGGTTATATCACTCATATATCATATCCCGTAAAAACTATTATTGATTATCCCATGCTTTGTAATCTGGGTAAATGAAGTCCTAGTCCACCGGCCGCTTTTCAGCGACATCGTCGTCGATAATCATGCAGATTCTTATTGACAACCACATTGACTCATAGAATTTTATAATGAATGTAGGTGGGTATAATATGGTATAATCATGTATAATCAATCATCGATGGTAGTACATCCATATTATGGATGAGACTACAGTAAATATGTAAGCATAGATGATTCAGACTTGCCTTGATATACCCAAGCGCTATTGGCTATATGCTACAAAATCATCCAACATGTTAGTAATTCTAAAAGGATGATTCCACTGAGCGAAGCCTCGTGTTCTGTGCGACTTCTCGTCATCAGGGCCTTAAAAATATGTGCTTTGGAGAGATCCCTAGATCGAGATGTTTGTTGGATTGATGCTGGTGGTGTTCCCACCATTGAAGGTTTAAACGCAGCTTTATTGACAAACCTCCAAGTTCTGCCAAAATATCCCAGTCAAGTTCAGAGAGGTGGATCACATATGATCAAATCACACTGCCTAGATCTCCGAAAATTCTTGGAAAACCCCCCAAATCCCATGACTTTCGTGGCATCCCATTGGTTGTTGACCACCCCGAAACGCCCCGAAACTGGGATGCCACGGCTAGGACCAAACTTGCTCAAGGCGGTCAAGATGTGCCATGTCTCCTGGAGCATCTGGAGCTATGGCCAGCGAGTCAAACAACCACCTTCCAAATATATGGAGGTTTCCTAAGTCATGGGGATAACCCCAGTTTTCATCCATTTGTTGGGAAGGGATTTTCCATCATGAAACATCCAGCTATTGGGGTATCCAGTGTATCCCCATTTATGGAAACCCCCATATGACATTCAAAAATTATTGATTGTTGACTATAGAAGTTAAGACATGTTAAGACCAGTTCTCAAATGTAGCTTGCTGCATGGTTTTGGACTCTCACCCCCAAAAAAAAACAAAAAAACGATGGATTCGCAGAAAACACGGGAAGGGAAGGGAAGATCTATTCAGCATTGGAACAAGCTGCTCCCAACCCAAGGTGCTCATAGGATTGATTCCTCTATTGATTGCTGGGTTCAAACGAGCTCATCCTCCCTCTGGCTACGGAGTCAGAGGATATTCCCATGATCTTCCGTCAGACCCCCTTCTTTCACCTCGATTTGCTCCAACTCGATCTCATCCACCTCCTCTTGCCCCTTCCTCAAAGCATCGTCGAAGGTGGGATAAACCAACCATCAAAATATGGCAGGTTTATTATAACTATTAATCATATTACTCTATTTTACTCTACATTATTTTACTGAACAGTGCAACTATGCCACTTATATTCTCATGTGAACAGAAGGGGATTTCATTTCTTTTGATGGCGTGAATCCATGATCGTCCCCTATAGACTCGTAGAATCTCGTAGACACCTTGCGACTGAATATGGAATCTGTTCATCGCCTGGGCGAATGAATTTCTCCATGTCTTCCACGTTTTTCCAGTGTCACATGTTCTCTAACGTTTCCAAAATGTACTGAAAATGCCCAGTTTCCCTCATTGTGTCTCCATGTTTTTTCTCAAGTTTCCCAATATGAGTCCCTCGGGTACTCAAAGGTGGCAATGGAAAATCCCCATTTAATGCGATGATTTTCCCGGCTATAAGCCTCCATTGAGTTCGGGCATGTTCCCATATTTTCCCATGTTTCCCATAATATTCCCATCAAAACCTCTGCTCCCATATGCTCCATCCATATATGGTTTATTTATTACGTTTCAGGGTAGATGGTGGCAAACATTCCAGCACCATGGAGCATCTGAGTTTCTAGGTTTGTCACGTTGGATTACCCTCTGGGAATTTAATATAGCTATTGAAAATTGCCCATTTAGTTCGTTGATTTACCTCTTAAAGATGGTGATTTTCCACTTCGCTATCTTAGTTTACCAGAAGGTACCGAAGGATACCATCATTTTCCGGCATCAAGGGCTCAACGGCTTTTTCTTCCGCTGAGTGTCTTGGTGCCCGCGGAGATCTCATAGAGACCCATGGGCCGCTCGTTGATGCTCTGGATGCCTAAGACCAGATGTAAGCGCCTCGGACGTTGAGCGGTCCAACAATATGGCAATGTTGCTGTGTGGCCCTATGAATTGTAATCAAACCCGTGAAAAAATGCTGGTTGTGGGGAAAAGAATGGCAAATCGTGGGGGTCTAGTGGGCTTCCCAATTTTGAGACAAAGCCAGCTGCGTTTTATCCCGCTAACGGGTGCACTTCCAAGTAGTCAGTCCAGTCTGGTGCGGGAGAAACCCTGGCTACCACCATGAAAAGAAAATACCAAGGACCATCTTGGTATGGCCAAACTTAGATACCCTGTGTGTTTTAGCTGGTTTTAATTGGGTGTGTCTCAAAATAGGGTATCAAAAAACAAGGAGATTGATAGTTAATCATCGTTTTCCCCATTCAAACATATCAAAACTGCCATTTTGGGTGCGCATGTTCAGACAGACCCATCTGTTTTTTGAAGTACCCATCCAAAGTATACCCAGTTAAGGACAGTTTTCCGGTATGAAAGTCCCAAGTCACGGGACAAAATAACATAAAATAACTCCTGCATTTTTCTGGCACCCATGTGAACCCGGCTGCCCAAACTTGGGATACCCAAGTTCTTGGGATATATCATTATTGGTCCCATGGACTCCTGAAGACTTGAAGAGTGTTCTGATTGGCACTCTGTCAGTCCATAAAAAAATCCTGATTGGCCAAGAACAAGATTCCGAATTGTGGAGGATAATCATCCCAAAGAATCTTTGCATAGTAACTGGTTGGTGGTTTCAACCCATCTGAAAAATATTAGTCAGATGGTATTATTATTTCCAATGTATGGAAAAATAAAATTCATGTTCCAAACCACCAACCAGATAAGTACAATCCCCGAACTAACCATCAACCAGCAGTCGGGTTCTTTGTAGCAGTCGTTGCACCCCTGACCGGCTTCACCCTTGGGTAATGCACAGATTTTCATGGCAAACCAACCAAGCATATCCAACCAACGCAACCGGGGCCATTCTAAGGCCTCTTTCATGCATCAATTGGGGATTCCAAAGCACCACTGCAGAACTGGGGCCCAAGGCAAGTCGCGGAAGAGGGCCTGCCAATCGATGCTGACCCCGGAGACCCTGGTTGGCTAATCTGAACCCATGAACCCCACAGCTAGGAAAAAAACTGGTTGGTGGTGCATTTGTTCCATCTTGAAAAATATTAGATTATTAGAGTCAATGGGTTTCGGTGTTATCATCCCATATCATCCCATATAATTATGATGGAAAACAAAAAAATAAATCCTGGCGTTTACCCTGGACCGGCGGGTAAACACCCGAGCCGCTTTTTTTTTCGTGGATCTCCAAGAAGCGTTCAGCAATGGTGCAATGGTGATCAGCAGCCGTGGGTCTCCCAAACCCCCCGAAGCCAACTGGTTCAATGGTTAATATATGGTTAATGTATGGTTAATGATGGTTATTATATGGTTAATGATGGTTAATAACTATAACTGGTTGGTGGTTGACCTACGCCTCTGAAAAATGATTGACTTCGTCAGTTGGGATTATGAAATTCCCAACTGAATGGAAAGTCATAAAATTCATGTTCCAAACCACTCACCAGAACTGAATGAGTGAATATGGCAAACATTCTTTTAGAACCCCTCATGTCCTCAGACCCGAACCCACTGGCCACCCCTTTCCCACAAGTTTACTGACCACGAAACTGTCCATTGATGCTCACCAGTTCAGAAGTAGATAGGAAAAGATTGCAATCCATTCCCCACTCCACAAAGTGGATTGAATCTATTGTGTCAATATCGATCATATAATATCTGGAATCTAAAATATAATGATGAATATCATATATAATCAATGTATAAATGAGGATTTCTGATGTGTATATATATATATATATATTTATACTGGTTGGTGGTTTCAACCCCTCTGAAAAAAATGTCAATGGGAAGGATGACATCCCATATATGAAATGGAAAATAAAATTCATGTTCCAAACCACCAACCAGTATATATTATGTATAGTTATTCTTAACTACTGTATATTGTTATTAGTTATTGTCCCATGAAGGTCCCGTGTATGTGGATCGTCACCTATCATTCACCGTCCCGATCCAGGATATATCTATAAAATTACATACACATATCTACACATCTATATATATTTATATTATATATACACATTATACACCATATACATCATATACAATATATATGAATATATATGAATATATATGAATAGATATGAATATATATGAATATATATGAATATATATGAATATATATAATATATATGAATATATATGAATATATATATATATGTCTATTAATATAGATAGTTAGATAGATAGATAGATAGATAGATAAATAGATAATGATAGATAGCTGGATAGATATCGATAGTTGGATAGATATCATTTATATCATTTATATATCAACCTATTTTTCAAGGCTCATCATCGTGCCTCCGACATGGAATCGATGCGGTCGTGCATCTCCTCCGCCGTGGCGTCCACCCACTGCGCCAGCAGCGTGCCGCACTTCTCCGCCAAGGCCCTGCCCCGTGGGGCGGCCATGGCTGGGTGGATGTGGTGATGAAAAAAACATGTTCATGATGAATGAATTGAAAAGGGATGGTTACCCTCTGGTAAATTAACATAGACCCTGGCAGATAGGGGTTGGAAGACTAGTTTCCATTAAAAATTGGTGATTTTCAGGGTCTATGTTTATTTACCAGAGGGTATAAAGTTGATTTTTAGAAGATTTAAGAAAAACTGAATGAACACGAATTGAATGAAACATGAATTCAACAATGAAATGGGCATGGATTCAATGGAAATAGCTCGGCTCGAAATGCCCGATCAAAGAAAAATCGTAGAACATGTTCAATTCACTATATTATACTATAGTGAATTCACTATATTACATAATACACTAATTAATATCATGTTAATTCCAAGTTTGGGAATGCAACATGAATATGTGTTGAAGAACTTCAAGTCAGCTGCCAGTGTTAAAACATTCATCCCAAAAGGCATGGGGTAAACAGTGAACTCAGTTTTAAAACTAAAGGTATTAATTAATAGAATTTAATACATCTATATACATCTATACAAGCATATAATATATATATATGGTCCCGTCCTCCGTCTCTCCACCCCCCCCCCCCCAGGGGTTGGGCCCCCAGGTAGTAGCCCCAATTCCCTTCTTTTTGCAAGCTATTGGCAGCATTTCTGGGGCCCAGCGTCGTATTTGCTAGGTCTTTGCAGCATTTTTACCAGCCTCGCATTTACTAGGTACATGCTACCTTTTAGGCGACCTACGTAGCACACATACGTGCTACCTATAGTCATACATACATGTGCTATGTATCTACTGTATCTACTTCCTGTTTACTACCTGTGTACTCTGACAACACTACCTCGTTGAACATATACCGTACCTACCATACATGTCAATGATGCCATGCATACCATACCTATCATATCTATCATACATACCATACATACCATACATATGAAATGTAATTACCACACCTACCATACATACAATAGCATACATACAATAGCAAGCATACATGCCATACATACCATACCTACCTTAGATAGGACATATTCCATACCCATCATAGTAACCATACATACCATACAGACCATACATACTGTCATATCAAACATACCATATCCAACAGACTTACATACCATACCTACCATCCATACAATACCAACCACTCATGCCATACATACCATACCTACCATACATACCAAACATACCATACTTTCCAAACATGCCATACCAGACCGACCATACACACCATACATACCCACCATACCATACCACACCCCCACCACACCACAGGGGGGGGAGGGGGGTGACATGGGGCACCCCCACCACACCACCGACCTCACCGCATAGGGGGGGGGGAGAAGATCTCATATGGGACCAGTATATGGGACCCATCCCATATGGGGGGGGGAGGGGGGGGGTGGCAGGGCCTGGTGCATATATATACATATCTATACATCTATAGTCATCTATACTAAATGCTTATGTACAACATACATCTATAGTCATCTATACATACAAATCGTTGGGCCTGCCATCCTTTTTTGCCTTGGGCAAACATGCTAGCCGGAAACAAAACAACATAGTTGGGTGGTTGAATCATATATATATATATACACTTAATATATGTGTGTATAATGACAATATGTGTGATATGTGATCATTTCTATATATAGAAATGCCCTATCGATCCACCATCCATTCACCAATCTCCATCCTAGCTCCGCCTGTTTCCACAGGAGAGCATGCGCACCAGGCACATCACCAAGACGTCTTGGACACTTTCGAAACGCCCCAAGACCTGACTTGTCGAACCAGAACTCATGGTGATCAACCGTGGTGCTAACTTTCCTGCATTTGGATTCCTTGGTGTGTGTGTATAGTATATATATATATATACAGTATAGTCGTAATTACATGTAATATGATATAATTTCTATATACTATCTGTATATAATATATAATTATATATATAATTACTATCTATATAGACGATGTAGACTATGAATATGTGTATATATATATATATATACATATTGTTTTTGTGCACTTCTTTATACACAACCTACAAACAATGATGGCACTCTAACGAGCAAAACTGCTGTTGCGAACCAACCGAGACGACTCGTAGTAGGGACCTGTGAGTATACTGGGTATGCCCAAGCAAACTATAATCCCTTCCCCCCAATATTAACCACCCCTAAACAAAACCATGGTTTAGTGAATTTTCACATAATTGGGGCCATTTATGGGGTGTTGAATATTAGGGTGATGGGATTATTAAACCATATTAAACCATATCAAACCATTGTAGATGGGATACTTCCCCGTGGACAAAAATAGGACCCGGGCCCTATCTACTTCGGATGCGTCTGATGAGTCTCCAAATACGGGGCGATTCAGACAGAGTCGGGAAGCCAGAGTCGTTGCGGGTTGCTTCAGCCACTTCAACAAAAACCCATGTCGATTGGGCCTCATATTCATCCCTTCATGCCTTCATCATCTTCATCCCAAGTAAACGTCCATTTGGCAAAAAATGGCAAAAACATACCCTCTGGTAATTTAACATAGCTATTGAAAATCACCATTTATAGTGGATTTTCCCATTGAAAATGGTGATTTTCCATAGTTTTTTGTATGTTTACCAGAGGGTATCCCCAGTTGATTGGAAGTGTCGCCCCAGATTTTGGCGATTGTGACCAGCGTCGGTGCTGAGCGAACTGATCATAAGAAACCCGTCAGAAACAACTGGTGTTGATGGCACAAGTTATGCAATCCAAATATATCACCGCCTATAGTGGTATAACCACCGCCTATAGTTATGCAATCCTTATAGTGGTATATCCACATTATTGGGTTTCTAAAAATAATGTGGTAAACCCAATAATTCAAAATTTTAAGGGGATGGTTGATGCAACCTGTGATACTTTTATAGAATGGTTTATGGCATTGGTTTACCACATTCATCCAATTTTTCGAAAATCGAAAACCCAGCATTTCTTACATTCGAAACCACCAATCAATGGATTGGTTTAGTCGGGAAAATCTACACCGGAAACCATCAGGATTTTTCAATTTTCCCATTTTTCATCGGGGCTTACCCTCCGGTAAACTAACATAGCTATGGAAAATGGCCCATAGAAATAGCTGATTTACCTACTAAAAGTGGTGATTGTCCATGGTTTTTTGTATGTTTACCACAAGGGTAAACCGGTTCCAACTATCCTCTGGTAAAAATGGCCATTAATAGTGGATTTTCCCATTAAAAATGGTGATTTTCCATAGTTATGTTAGTTTACCAGAGGGTATCCCAACCAATCCATGGATAGCACCCGCCTGTTGCATCTTGTCGGCAAATTCCGCCACGGCCAATCGCTCCATGGTGGCATTCAGGGTGCTGGCGCGGCCGCCCTCCTGGCGCTGGAGTTTCGACCGATGTGCCATGTTGTGTGGAGTTTATGATATTTCCTAGGATCCACACAAATGTTTGCGATCGATATATATATATATACATATATACATAATATCTATATATATAATGTATATATTATATATAATGTATATATATAATATATATATAATGTATATATATAAATATAATGTATATATATAATGTATATATATAATGTATATATATATATAATGTGTATATATAATGTATATATACATAATGTATATATATATATAATGTATATATATAATGTGTGTATATATATAATGTATATATATAATGTATATATAATGTATATATATAATGTATATATATATATCATGTATGTATGTACATATACATATTATCTTATATTGAAAGGAAACCAGTGTTTTTCGATATTCATATGGATCTAATTTAGAAAATAGAAAAACATTGAGGGTAGGCCAAACTGCAGTCATTCATTGGAGTTGTGAGACAAAACTAAAGAAAATGTTATTATTTGCGTCAGGGTACCTCCCCGTTTGTTTATCATGTTTATTCTGATGTTATTTTCTCTCGTGTGCGTTTCACGTGTGGTTATCATGTTTAAAAGGACCTTGATGGGAATCCTGCTGGGCACATCCCCCAAAAGATTGTTTGTCATCCTGTTGTGTCATGTTTATTGTGTGTATTGTTCATTATGTTCAATTATTTGTTCAAAGGATGTGTCCTTGGTTGTTCAAAAAATGAAACCGGTTGATACTGATTGTTTTTTTTCTAATATTATGTGTCTTTATGGTTCCCAAGTTCCATTGTGCTTCCATCTGATTAGACTTCCTGCTTTCACAGAGGACAGTACATGTTCAGATGGCAATTTCTGTTAGATACACCTGTCAGATCTATTATTGATCCATGTTCAAACTCAAACTAGTGGGATATTTGATATATATATATATATATAAGATTATATATATATATGTATATATGATTATGATTATATATATGTTCAGTTTTGGCTCATGTTTGGCCTAAAGAATCAATATTTTCTGAAATATGGATACAGTCTATACTATGTCCGGACGATCCCTCAGTTGGAAAGAATAGTAACTGACTATCAACACGTTCGTACTTTATCCAAGTTCATGGTTGAATTGAGTGTATGTCTTGATGTTTTTGTCGTCTGTCTAGATTGAAGCATTCCCAAGTCCGGAAAAATGTGTGTATGTGTTTATATCTGGACTTGTTTGGAAACCTCATCTAGTATGACTATTTATATATATATATATGTATACTTTAGTTCTATGTGATCAGGATGGCAATTCTCCTCCTCGTGATATGTGAAACATTGACTCCATATCCCATCCCAACTGGGGGTCATTCGCAATGAGTGACCTGATCATAAGCAAGGTTCTCAACCATTTTGAAAGGTGACATATCACACATGTCCCATCTTCAATTGAACAGTGTTCAACGCCCCATATCGTTCCTTTTTACTTGTTGATTGAGAACGGGATTACCATACTGGATTGTGATCATCGCCACCAAAATATTGGGTGTATAACTCCCCTAACTAATCTTCAAACCATGATTTATCATCGGGAAATTACCCACCATGCAGCGGGGATAGACATTTAAAACTCCAATCCCCATTTTGATGCCGGTTAGTTCACAAGTATCAGCACAAGTATCAGTGCGGACGTCCAAAAAGTAACTGGTTGGTGGTTTCAACCCCTCTGAAAAATATTAGTCAGTTGGGATTATTATTCCCAATATATGGAAAAATAAAAAATGTTCCAAACCACCATTTCCAACCATTTCCACAACGCGCTGCTTTAGATCACGAAAGCAGCCCACTTTCAGGCGCTTCAGCGACAGGACGTGAGAAACACCTCAGGAAACAGAAAGTTCCTCTGAGCAACCGGTAATCCATCCAAAGCCTTAGTTTGCCTCCTAAAGGTCTGGTCAGAAAAAGTGCGAAGCCACTTATCGATCAGCACCAAGCGTCCTTTCGGCCATGGGATGGCCATACTGCCGCAAAACATCGCCAACATCTCAGATTCAGGTCTACAATATTTGTAAACAACCGGGATATTCAGATGTCGCAGTATCTCCTTCAGGACTTTGGCAAACCATTGGACTCTGCGCTTAAATGGATAAGATCGCAAACCCTGCAAAGGAAGGTCGGAGCCATTCTTCCAACAAATAAGCTTCATTGGGCCTGCTTCTCCAGTCGCACTTGTGTAATCAATAAACAATTGAATATGTGAGACCCAAAATACAGGCCCAGTGGCCCCAGAAAGAACATCCCACCACCAACTGACCAGGGACCTAACCAAATGGTCACCGTACCATCTCACAGCACCACTTGGCAAATGAGCCAATGAAGGAAGGGGTGTCCACTGCGGAGCACAAACTTCAATTGAAGGTTCAAAACAGAGCACAGGAGCCGGTCGCTCAATTTGCAAGACCCTATGGCTAATGTTGACCAAAACCCTTTGAATGCTAGTATTCCAGTTATCAACCAAGGTACAAGCCTGAATATGCCTCGAAAGCAGATCCCGGAATGCAGCTGGGCGGCGCACATTGGCCATCGCTGCAGCATGGTCGGAAAACTGATTGTGTTGAAAACACCATTCTTCCAGAGCAGTGCTTGCAGTTTGGACCGATCTGTGAGCCAACACCTTAGTGATACCAACCCTACCATGTGGGACGGACCGCAAATCATTCTCGATCATGAGCCAGAGGTCCGCATTCGGTGAATTGATACGAACTTCCCCCCCTGCAGCAGTCGTTGCAACCTACCTACTACCGCCTGGCAGTCACACCAAATATGCAAGGGAACTCCACTGATCGTTGCCAGTCGGATGGCCCGATACACAGCAAAGAGTTCTGCTCTGACCGGGGTCTGGCGCACCCCAGGTAATACCCCCGAGTCCAAGATAGCAGCATCACACTGCTGGGAGGGATCAGCCACCACAATGGCCCAGGATGCAAAGCGCAAATCTGGATAGTGAGGGTTTGCACAGCTACCATCTGTAAAAACATGCACCACCTTGTCACCTGGAGGCAAGCGCCCAGGCATCACGGGGGAATCAAGGGACCCAACATATTGATACCACTCCTCGAACGTAGATGGCTTCAATGCCCAGCCATATGCAGTCACACATTCAGGAAGAGATGGGACAGCCGCAAAAAGTGCAGGGCTCACCTCAGTACGACAGTCATCAAAAGCAGGGCATAACCAAAAGCGATGATACCTGGAGTCTGTGCTCTGGCAGAAAAGACAAACATCACTGGCGGATTCTTGGCAATAATGCATGCACTCTTGAGTAATGTGTGCCCCATTCAGCAATTTCCTGTAACAAGCCTGATCACTATTGGACAGTGTTGAAAGAAGGAGCCTGGTACGGCGAGGATCCACCTGGTCAAGGTCCACCAACCCAGGCCGGTGGGAGACTGCAGCAGCAACCACACGCAACCAAGCATATTCCATCCGCCAGAGAAGCTCTTCCATGCTCACTTCAAATAACGCAAATGCACCAAAGGAGTCACACAGCCTATGGTCATCATCAATATGCCAACCAAGGGCTTGCACTCTTGTGAGAAGAGTTGAGGAAATTCCATTAACGACCCCAGAAATTTCTCCATGAGCAATGCCACCCAGCACCGATGTAACCACATCAGCAATGCCACAGTCTCTGACCATACGCAGTGTTTGTACAATCGCAAAGAAATGGGGGTCAGTAGTAGGCTGTTCAATGAGGCCTAAATGTAGCATTGAGTTGCACCCAGCACCATCGGCTCCCAATCCTCTCATCGCACCAGAGCGGAGGGTGCCATAAGCCTGCAAAGCAATGGTGGTAGCAGAGATAGCATGAAGGCATCTTGGCCATGCAGCAGTACGAATGGCACGAATCTTGTGTTTGTAGGCACTCGCAGACAACCGTAGTCGCGCCCAAATTCCAGAAGCTGCATTAATCCGGTCCATCTGTGTGGAGTTGGTATGCTTACGGGTGGTCTGCACATGAGCACCTAGCATCCGACAACCATGAACCACGGCAAAGCCTTGTGACTTCAGAAGACGTCGTCCGTGAGCACACACAGACCAGGCACAAGTTTTCTTCATGTCAAGCTGCAAATCTAATGCATCAGTGAAACGATGCAGACACTGCACACTACCAGCAACAAAAGCAGGGTTTGCGGTCAGGAGGGTCCAATCGTCAACATAGGAGATAGGTTGGGCCATCGGAAAGAAGAATCCATGCCACAAGTGAAAAAGCATATCCACAATCACCATGCCAAGACAAGACAATCCATCGCCTTCAGGGAGCCCAGTAACACTGTAGGCAGCAGAGGAAAGGTTTTGACCAATTTGAAATCGCCTGCCAAGCTGCGCTAAAGCACCTGCCCAAGCAACCAAAAGTGAAAACGGGATTCCCAACAAGGCAGCAGCCTCAAGTACAACTAATCGCGGCAAGCAATTGAACGCTTTCTGAATGTCTGCAAAGACTCCGGACAGTGCCACACCTGAGGAAAGGGAATCTTCCACAGCCCACAATAACTGGCACCAAACTTGCCCCGCAAATCGACTTGGCCTGCTGCCATAAAGTGTGTCAGGCAACACCATTTCCAACTGGCGGATGGCATGTCTCGCATGAAACGACCCCCAGCAACGATACAAGAGCCCCAAAATGGTGATGGGGCGGTAATCCAGGACGTCCTGGGGGTGCTCCTTCTTGGCAAGGCAGGCTACCTTTCCAATCAACAGTTGATCTGGCCAGACACCCGTAGTTTCAGCCTCAGAGAACATGTGAACAAATGCTGTATGTGCCGCTCTCGGCATGCTCTTCAAATCAACAAGAGAAACACCATCTAAACCACTGGAAGATCCAGGCTTTTTGCGGCCGATCACTTGCATCAGAGAATCAGCAGTCAAAGCAGGCCATTCAAGGCTACGTCTGGGCAAGTGGCGTCGAGCAAATGACAGAATGGTTTCCCAACG